CTGATGCAGCACTCCATCACTCTCCATCTTGGTCAAATAGCCCTTCCACAGCCTGGAGCCCTTCCACAGCCTGGAGCCCTTCCACAGCCTGGAGCCCTTCCACAGCCTGGAGCCCTTCCACAGCCTGGAGGTGTGTTGGGTCATTGGCCTTGTCCTGTTAGAAGGTAACAGATTATTTTATTATTAAAATTTGACTTTCATTGTGTTCCATGGTCTTTATCGCCCCCTGGTGGAGCTTTCTGGTACTTTAAAAGACTGCACAACCGGAAGTAGAGTAGAGTAGTCATTCTGCACGCAGACAAGCAGCTAGAAACAACGCTACAGTTCTTTCTGTGCAGATATTTCTTGTCTCGCTTCAGTCTCTGAAAATATTTGTTTGTAAGTTCAATTCAAGCATATTGCTAGTGATGATAGTATTGTTATTGATAGAATTGCTTACTTATTTATGTTAGTTGGTTACGTTTACTCACGCAAATGACCTTGCCTTTCATGTATGCCGTCAGCTGTATTAATTTGCTTGTGCGTCATGTAAGCGAATTGTAAAACATACTATAGTTTTGTTACTGTTTCTAGTGTAATATGCTTTGTTATTGTACAGAGGTGTTTGCACATTATTAGAGTAATGAAAGGAGTTGGCTAGCTGTTACTCATAGAGTAATTATCTATCTGGTTTGGCGTCATGTCAGATACATGGGACCTTGGCACATGCTTTGTATTTATGCAACTTCAACTTGAAATGTGTAATGTACAGCTGCAGTATGTCAATGTGAATTGAATACTAAAGTATATTATTTTCTGTATTTTGCAGTTTCACTATATAAACGTTTTCAATATATTAGTTCAAGAAAAGTCACGCCTTGGAAGTTTTATTGAAGACTCAGTTGTTAGCTATCTGTCTAGTTTTGCATGGTAACGCAATTTCAGGGCAGAATAGTCCTGTTGAAAAACAAATGATAGTCCCACTAAGCCCAAACCAGATGGAATGGCGTATCGCTGCAGAATGCTGTGGTAGCCATGCTGGTTAAGGGTGCCTTGAAATCTAAATAAAATCACAGACAGTGTCACCATCAAAGCACCCCCACACCATAACACCTCCTCCTCCATGCTTCACGGTGGGAACCACTCATGCGGAGATCATCCGTTCAGCTACTCTGCGTCTCACAAAGACACGGTGGTTGGAACGAAAAATCTCAAATTTGGACTCAACAGACCAAAGGACAGATTTCCACCAGTCGAATTCTTGGCCCAAGCAAGTCTTTTCTTCTTATTAGTGTCCTTTAGTAGTGGTTTCTTTGCAGCAATTCGACCATGAAGGCCTGATTCACGCAGTCTCTGAACAGTTGAGGTTGAGATGTGTCTGTTACTTGAACTCTGAAGCAGTTCTTGAAATGTTCCGTATTGACCGACTGTTGTTTCTCTTTGCTTATTTGAGCTGTTCTTGCCATAATATAGACTTGGTATTTTACCAAATAGGGAAATCTTCTGTATACCCCCCCCCCCCCCCACACACACCTGTTAATTGAAATGCATTCCGGGTGACTACCTCATGAAGCTGGTTGAGAGAATGCCAAGAGTGTGCAAAGCTGTCGTCAAGGCAAAGGGTGGCTATTTGAAGAATATTAAATATATTTTGATTTGTTTAACACCGTTTTGGTTACTACTTGATTCCATATGTGTTATTTCATAGTTTTGATGTCTTCACTATTATTCTACAATGTAAAAAATAATAAAAATAAAGAAAAACCCTTGAATGAGTAGGTGTGTCCAAACGTTTGACTGGTACTATATACACTGCTCAAAAAAATAAAGGGAACACTTAAACAACACAATGTAACTCCAAGTCAATCACACTTCTGTGAAATCAAACTGTCCACTTAGGAAGCAACACTGATTGACAATACATTTCACATGCTGTTGTGCAAATGGCATAGACAACAGGTGGAAATTATAGGCAATTAGCAAGACACCCCCAATAAAGGACTGGTTTTGCAGGTGGTGACCACAGACCACTTCTCAGTTCCTATGCTTCCTGGCTGATGTTTTGGTCACTTTTGAATGCTGGCGGTGCTTTCACCCTAGTGGTAGCATGAGACGGAGTCTACAACCCACACAAGTGGCTCAGGTAGTGCAGCTCATCCAGGATGGCACATCAATGCGAGCTGTGGCAAGAAGGTTTGCTGTGTCTGTCAGCGTAGTGTCCAGAGCATGGAGGCGCTACCAGGAGACAGGCCAGTACATCAGGAGATGTGGAGGAGGCCGTAGGAGGGCAACAACCCAGCAGCAGGACTGCTACCTCCGCCTTTGTGCAAGGAGGAGCAGGAGGAGCACTGCCAGAGCCCTGCAAAATGACCTCCAGCAGGCCACAAATGTGCATGTGTCTGCTCAAACGGTCAGAAACAGACTCCATGAGGGTGGTATGAGGGCCCGACGTCCACAGGTGGGGGTTGTGCTTACAGCCCAACACCGTGCAGGACGTTTGGCATTTGCCAGAGAACACTGGCACCCTGTGCTCTTCACAGATGAAAGCAGGTTCACACTGAGCACGTGACAGACGTGACAGAGTCTGGAGACGCCGTGGAGAACGTTCTGCTGCCTGCAACATCCTCCAGCATGACCGGTTTGGCGGTGGGTCAGTCATGGTGTGGGGTGGCATTTCTTTGGGGGGCCGCACAGCCCTCCATGTGCTCGCCAGAGGTAGCCTGACTGCCATTAGGTACCGAGATGAGATCCTCAGACCCCTTGTGAGACCATATGCTGGTGCAGTTGGCCCTGGGTTCCTCCTAATGCAAGACAATGCTAGACCTCATGTGGCTGGAGTGTGTCAGCAGTTCCTGCAAGAGGAAGGCATTGATGCTATGGACCGCCCGTTCCCCAGACCTGAATCCGATTGAGCACATCTGGGACATCATGTCTCGCTCCATCCACCAACGCCACGTTGCACCACAGACTGTCCAGGAGTTGGCGGATGCTTTAGTCCAGGTCTTGGAGGAGATCCCTCAGTAGACCATCCGCCACCTCATCAGGAGCATTCCCAGGCGTTGTAGGGAGGTCATACAGGCACGTGGAGGCCACACACACTACTGAGCCTCATTTTGACTTGTTTTAAGGACATTACATCAAAGTTGGATCAGCCTGTAGTGTGGTTTTCCACTTTAATTTTAAGGGTGACTCCAAATCCAGACCTCTATGGGTTGAAACATTCGATTTCCATTGATCATTTTTGTGTGATTTTGTTGTCAGCACATTCAACTATGTAAAGAAAATAGTATTTAATAAGATTATTTCATTCATTCAGATCTAGGATGTGTTATTTTAGTGTTCCCTTTATTTTTTTGAGCAGTGTATATATATATATATATATATATATATATATATATATATATATATGAGTGTATTCTCCTGTAGGCCTATTGTAAATGTGTATTATTGTAGCGTCATCTTTATTGCAAATATCAATAAAAATACAACTTTAAGCTACATATTCACTTGACAGTGGTAATGAAGTGTCCATTGATCAGTGCAGCAATTGATAAAACAGGACCATGTTTGCAAAACAAGTGTTTCTGAGCTTAAGTCAATATTACACAGGTAAGCTAACGGTTAACAGAAATCAGGAATGCAGACAGGCTCTATAGACCTCTAGAACGGTCAGCGTAGAGACAGTTCGAAATTTACAGGGGTGGGTACTAGGAGTCTCAGTCTCTTTAACTGAACTGTGCTTCTGTCTGTCAAAGACAATAGTTCTGCCCCATCTATCTTTTGAAGACAATGGTTCTGCCCCATCTATCTGTTGAAGACAATGATTCTGTACTATCATTGTCTTCAACAGATAGATAGTACAGAACCATTGTCTTCAACAGATAGGTAGTACAGAACCATTGTCTTCAACAGCTAGATGGGGCAGAACCATTGTCTTCAACAGATAGATGGTACAGAACCATTGTCTTCAACAGATAGATAGTACAGAACCATTGTCTTCAACAGCTAGATGGGGCAGAACCATTGTCTTCAACAGATAGATGGGGCAGAACCATTGTCTTCAACAGATAGATGGGGAAGAACCATTGTCTTCAACAGATAGATAGTACAGAACCATTGTCTTCAACAGATGTTTAACCATCCACGCAGACGGATGCCATCTGATGTAAAACCATAGAATACGTTGGCAGACAGCTCTTAGACATGTTCTGTATAGTTACTGAATACATGTTGGCAGACAGCTCTGAGACATGTTCTGTATAGAGTACACGGTGGTGGAAATTAAGATAGCTGACATTTTTCAGACCAGACTAGTAGAAAATGTTTGTCTTCTCAAATATACCATGGCACAGATTTTGGACCCAAGCCAGTAGGAATTGTGGTCTAGAAGCCCGGCTGGCCAAAATCCTTAAATTCCATACCTGAGTGTTCATATTTGGTGATATTTCATATTTGTATTTAATGTTTGTGTCAAAATGAACAAGGCTTTCTAGTCAATCACCACACACTAAACTGACAGGCGTTTGGAGAGGCATTTTATTAGAAAACACTCCTGTACAGAATGAGGCTGGGGGAGACAGACAGTGCTAATGCAAGAAGAGGTATGGCATCTCACTGCTACTATCTCTGGTCCTCTTCAGCCACCTGTGAGGAGAGAGAAGAGGTCAAGTGAGTCACATCATGAGTGCCAAATGGCACCCTATTCCCTATATTTGACCCTATGGGCCTTGGTCAATAGTAGTGCACTAAATAGGGTGCCATTTGGGACGAAGCCACAGACTGACAGGACGGTTAGAACACTATTACAGGTAAACTGATACCAATATCTGTTTCCAGAACCTTCCATGCCTGACTAGGAGGGTTACTCACCCCTTTCTTCAGACCGTATTTAGCTCTCCCTTACCCCATCGCTCACCTCAATCTCTCCCCCCCACACACCACCCACCCACCCACCCACCCAACTCCTCCTTCTCACCGCACCCCCTCACCTCCATCTCTCCTCCTTTCTGGACAAAGCAGTTCTACTCCAGTTTCTTGGGGTTGTTGACAGCTACGTAGTGATATAGAACCACCAGCAGGAACAGAGACACACCCAACATGTTGGCGAAGATGGCTAGCTGCACGTCAGTCACCATTCTGGAGGGGGACACACATAATATCACCATTCTGGAGGGGGACACATAATATCACCATTCTGGAGGGGGACACATAATATCACCATTCTGGAGGGGGACACACATAATATCACCATTCTGGAGGGGGACACATAATATCACCATTCTGGAGGGGGACACACATAATATCACCATTCTGGAGGGGGACACATAATATCACCATTCTGGAGGGGGACACATAATATCACCATTCTGGAGGGGGACACACATAACATCACCATTCTGGAGGGGGACACACATAACATCACCATTCTGGAGGGGGACACACATAACATCACCATTCTGGAGGGGGACACACATAACATCACCATTCTGGAGGGGGACACATAACATCACCATTCTGGAGGGGGACACATAACATCACCATTCTGGAGGGGGACACATAATATCACCATTCTGGAGGGGGACACATAATATCACCATTCTGGAGGGGGACACATAATATCACCATTCTGGAGGGGGACACATAATATCACCATTCTGGAGGGGGACACACATAACATCACCATTCTGGAGGGGGACACACATAACATCACCATTCTGGAGGGGGACACATAACATCACCATTCTGGAGGGGGACACACATAACATTATAATGTTGGATCAGATAGGATGACACACCACGGTCACTATAAGTTACAGTGGGAGTGGGACCTCACATGGGTGTGTATTCATTACTGAAACAGTTTACTGTTTAAGAACCAAACGGAAGCAAAATAAACGGGGAGAGTCTACCTATAAGAAACGGGGAGAGTCTACCTATAAGAAACGGGGAGAGTCTACCTATAAGAAACGGGGAGAGTCTACCTATAAGAAACGGGGAGAGTCTACCTATAAGAAACGGGGAGAGTCTACCTATAAGAAACGGGGAGAGTCTACCTGAATTTGTACAATAGAAACTCTCGTTTGGGTTTTCCGTTTCGAGTAAACTGTTTCTGTTGCGAAACTTTTTACAACAGAATCGGCGTAATGATTACACCCCTGGTCATCCATGAGAGGCAAGGAACTGACTCAACTAGCCATCTACTTACCTACCTGCCATTCCTTCATTGACATTGGACAACAACTAGCTAGCTAACTAACGACCTAACGTTAGCGGCACCTGGATGGTTGGCCGCCTAGTCAATGGCACATTATCAATAGATTTTTTTTAAATCACATGATTATGGCTATCCTAATTTTTAGACACAGGTAGCTTCTGATCTCACGTTGGTGAGCAGCATCCTTAGCCAACGTTACACACAGAAAAACACGATAGGAAATCGGATAGGAAGGCATCACCTACTATGGCAAAATAATACGACTACATTTCAGCAAAAAAAGAAACAATACAATCCTTACGTTATTCCTTGTCGATGTGTGTTTTAGTCGGTTACAGATTCAGTTTGGCTTTCTGATGTGTGACACTTTCCTTGGTTTTCAGTCCTCTCGCTTCCGGCTAGCACAGAGGGCCACGTCAACGTAATGAGAGGGGAGGAGCCACGTCAACGTAATGAGAGGGGAGGAGCCACGTCAACGTAACGAGAAGGAAGGAGCCACGTCAACGTAACGAGAAGGAAGGAGCCACGTCAACGTAACAAGAGGGGAGGAGCCGTAGGAACGGCATTCATAGAGCGGCTCGTGTCGTAACATGGGCTGGGTTCGTCTATCTACTCCGATTTCACAGCACTCTCGTCTCAGTGTGCCAGAGCTCAGAATAACTGATGAATTTACGAACACACCCCATGATTTCTAACAAAAACTGGGATACAAGGGACGACTCAAAATCCCTTATGAATATTTTAGTAGATAATCTTAATCTAGAATTTCATAATTGAAAATAAATAAATAATTTAGATTTGATACAGGTGGTTGGTCCTCCTCACCAGAGGGGGCGGTAGTGGTGTCCGGCTGCAGGGGACCGGAGGGAGAGGAGTGGCCGAGCTGGATCTGTCGCCTGGCCGGCGTGAGGTGTAGCTGGTTAGCAAACTAGCTAGATGGTGCTTCGCTGCTGCGGTACACGGAACAGAGATCGGAGAGGGCAATAGCTAATGTTCAGATAGCTAGCTAGTTAGAGTAGATCCTGTGAGTTGCCGCCATGGCTCTGTACGAATATGTCAGTCGGGATCAACTGTCGGGCTTCGACAAGTACAAGGTAACGTTAAGAGAGACTGCTCTTCTAGCTAGTGGTTGACAAAGCGTGTAGCTGTTAGCATGCTAACCTGGTTAGCTAGTGTTTGATGTTAAGTAACACCACCATCATTATCGGGTGCTGAACATTCTGGGAAATTCATTTATCTAACGTCAGCTCATATGGTTGGGTTCATATTGTAACTGGCATAGACAAACTGGTTGTCTATTATTCGCTCTGACCGATAAGCGACCTGTCAACATCGGCTAACGTGACGTTAGCTAACTAGTTAGCTAGGTAGAAAGCGCCCGCTTCCCCTCGGGTTAGCCCGGCCACCCGCTAGTGGGCTTTACGGAGCTCCTGTCGTCTGGGCTTCATACACACTCGTGGCCCCCGGCGACCGGTTCGTAATAATACATTCTCCATTCAGGCTGTAAAGACTTTTCCTCCTTAACTCTATTTAATGGCGAGAAGGCGGAAAAAACTGGGAAAATATGCCTACTTTCTTTGAAACATTAATTTCCACAACCATTTCCCACCAGAATACTACTTCCTGATTAGCCAAGTATGGATAGCTGCAGCCCAATATGACGACCGGAGTATGGGCGAGCTGGTGTGTCGAAAGGAGTGGGTTATTGAAAAGCGAATCAGGTAATTGGGCAGATTTGTTGGCACTCAATGACGTTTTGCGTGGCAGATTGGGCTGCTCGACGAGTTGATAACTAATATTGATAACCATCTAGATGTCACCTTAATACAAAGTCTACTACTCAATGGGTAGGGCAGGGCATGAACGGCAACACCGGGACACAGTGCCCTTCGCTCCTACTTGACAAGAACTAATGACCGGCAACGGCGTGGGAAGAAGCTACCTAACAGTAGCAGCCAATATTAGGGTGGCAGTCACAGTACGCACGCATACAATGCATGAAGCAACAGTACACCCATCATAAATACTTTTAATCAAAAATAAACAATCTTCCGTTTTATAACTGAAAATGTACTCCAAACTCTCGCGGTATGTTGCGTGGTAAGAATAGGAAGGCCCCCCAGCCGACCCCTCGGCGCCCCACAGTTTGGGAGGCACTGGTCAAACCTATGGCAGAGCGCTTTCGACACGCCCACTACTTTCCTTTCGACACGCCCACTCGCCCATACTCCGGTCGCCATATTGGGATGCAGCTATCCCCTTGAGGAGGAGTCTACTGTGTCCTGAGGTGAATTGACCATACATTTTCTGTATTCAGGGTTCGCTCAAACAGCGTTTTAAGCTTTGTTTTGCTATTGACAGTTACAACTGATTTTGGGATTGTATATCGATTTACTCTCCATAAATGTCATCTGATTAATTAATTTCAGTCTCTGAATTGTTTAATCAAACTTTTTTTCCGTCAGCTCCTGATATCAGGGCGTAAAAACTACAATCTGTCTCCTGAATTAACCTAGTCTGCATGTGCAACCAGCTGGCACACATTTGCACTAGGCCCAGCTTGTTTTTCCCTGGCTTAACTAGCGGGCCCTGGCTTAACTAGCTGGCCCTGGCTTAACTAGCTGGCCCTGGCTTAACTAGCTGGCCCTGGCTTAACTAGCGGGCCCTGGCTTAACTAGCGGGCCCTGGCTTAACTAGCGGGCCCTGGCTTAACTAGCTGGCCCTGGCTTGACTAGCTGGCCCTGGCTTAACTAGCGGGCCCTGGCTTAACTAGCGGGCCCTGGCTTAACTAGCTGGCCCTGGCTTAACTATCTGGCCCTGGCTAAACTAGCTGGCTAGTTGAACAATGGTCGTTTTTGTCCTCATTGCCAAACTTCATAAATACTGCACCCTCAACTTCAAAACTAATTTTTCTAGTTATACAATCATAAACTTGAAAATGATGTATTGTTTTGTTGAATAGTCATTACTGGTTCGAGATATGTCGACAGATGATGGTGGCGAAGAATATAATTGCTCCTTAACGTGGATCCAAGTTCAGTTTTGAGATATGTATACAGTCTTGTACCCTTAATCTTCTTTCAACTGACTGTCGTATTTGTTAATTAAATCAGACTTTATTCATATAATGAGTAATCCAGGAATGTCACAAGTTACTTGACACAAGAAAATAGCAACTACGGATCGCAATGACTACAATGAATGGCTAAATTACTTCCTGACACTAAGGGTCCACAGAGCTCCTCCTCCTCACCACTCCATATCGAGGATGAGTTGAGTTTTCATAACTGGTCGCGGTATTTGCTAGCAACAACATTGAGTCACCATCACTCGATGAAAAACGTTTATCGAATACAACCAGACCTTTTCCAAATTTGTGTTACTCAACTCAGCGTGAATATTCATGTGCCAATTCATTCTCAGCATAAGTAGTATGAGCAACACAAATTAGGAGAAAGTCAGTGGTTGTATTCAATAAAAGTTTTTGTTAAAGTATGAATGTGAGCACCCCGCGTAAGGACAGGGATGAGTCGAGAAACCTGCCGATTTTCCTCCAAAGTATGTAATGTCACTATTGCAAAGCTATTCGATATTACAGAGAACAAGTTAATTATCTCACTTCTCTAAATGTTTTTTAAATGTTGTGCTATACTTATTGTTGACGAAATTCATGCTACTGTTGGGTTTTAGAGCTAGCGCCCAATAGACTCCTTGAAGGAGAGCGCTCCTTGACCCAGAATCGGTACACACTTACACAATGGGCGTTAATACGCTTCCAATGAAGTTTCCCATCTCCTCAAAAGTACAGAGCCTTCAGAAAGTATTCATACCCCTTGACTTATTCCACATGTTGTTGTGTTCCAGCCTGAATTCAAAATGGATTAAATGGCTTTTTTTCCCTCACCCATCTACACACAATACCCCATAATGACAAGTGAAAATATATTTTTTTGTGTGTGTGCAAATGTATTGAAAATGAAATACAGAAATATCTCATTTACATAAGTATTCACACCCCTGAGTTAATACATGTTAGAATCACCTTTAGCAGTGATTACAGCTGTGAGTCTTTCTGGGTAAGTCTTTAAGAGCTTTCCACACCTGGATTGTAAAATATTTGCCCATTATTCTTTTACAAATTTTCAAACTCTGTCAAATTGGTTGTTATCATTGCTGGACAACCATTTTCAGGTCTTGCTATAGATTCTGAAGCAGATTTAAGACAAAACTGTAACTCGGCCACTCAGGAACGTTCAGTGTCTTCTTGGTAAGCAACTCCAGTGTAGATTTGGCCTTGTGTTTTAGGTTATTGTCCTGCTGAAAGGTCAATTCATCTCCCAGTGTCTGGTGGAAAGCAGACTGAACCAGGTTTTCCTCTAGGATTTTGCCTGTGCTTAGCTTCATTCCATTTATTTTTTATCCTGAAAAACTCCCCAGTCCTTAATGATTACAAGCATAATCATAACATGATGCAGCCACCACTATGCTTGAACATATGGAGAGTGGTACTCAGTAATCTATTGGATTTGCCACAAACATAACACTTTGTATTCAGGACAAAAAGTGCATTTCTTTGCCACATATTTTGCAGTATGACTTTAGTGTCTTGTTGCAAACAGGATGCATCTTTTGGAATATTTGTTATCCTCTATGGGCTTCCTTCTTTTCACTCTGTCATTTAGGTTAGTATTGTGGAGTAACTACAATGTTGTTGATCCATCCTCAGTTTTCTCCTATCACAGCCATTAAACTCTGTAACTGTTTTAAAGTCACCATTGGCCTCATGGTGAAATCCCTGAGCGGTTTCCTTCCTCTCCGGCAACTGAGTTAGGAAGGACGCCTGTATCTTTGTAGTGACTGGTTGTATTGATACACCATCCAAAGTGTAATTAATAACTTCACCATGCCCAAAGGGATATTCAATGTCTGCAGATTTTTTTTTTTTTTAACCCATCTACCAATAGGTGACCTTCTTTGCGAGGCATTGGAAAACCTCCCTGATCTTTGTGCTTGAATCTGTGTTTGAAATTCACTGCTTTACTGAGGGACATTACATATAATTGTATGTGTGGGTTACAGAGATGAGGTAGTCATTCAAAAATCATGTTAAACTCTGTTATTGCACCAAAGTGAGTCCATGCAACTTATGTGACTTGATAAGCATATTTTTACTCCTGAACTTATTTAGGCTTGCCTTAACAATGGGGTTGAATATTTGACTCAAGACATTTCAGCTTTTCAATTTTAATTAATTTAACTTTTCGAAAAACATAATTCCACTTTGACATTATGGGGTATTGTGTGTAGGCAAGTGACAAAAAATATAAATGTTATCCATTTCAAATTCATGCTGTAACACAACATGTGGAAAAAGTCAAGGGGTGTGAATACTTTCTGAAGGCATTGTCTATCAAAACAGCAGCTGCCACCAAGCGTTTCTATTGGACAAATTCAGGTAGGTCCTTCCCTGTTTTGTTCAGTTTGCTTCCGTTTAAGATTTTTTTTTAGTGTTGTAGTTACTGATAGGTCTGGTTTATAAGGGGAACAACTCTGTTAGATAGTGTTGTGGTTACTGATAGGTCTGGTTTATAAGGGGAACAACTCTTAGTTAGATAGATAGTGTTGTGGTTACTGATAGGTCTGGTTTATAAGGGGAACAACTCTTAGTTAGATAGATAGTGTTGTGGTTACTGATAGGTCTGGTTTATAAGGGGAACAACTCTTAGTTAGATAGATAGTGTTGTGGTTACTGATAGGTCTGGTTTATAAGGGGAACAACTCTTAGTTAGATAGATAGTGTTGTGGTTACTGATAGGTCTGGTTTATAAGGGGAACAACTCTTAGTTAGATAGATAGTGTTGTGGTTACTGATAGGTCTGGTTTATAAGGGGAACAACTCTGTTAGATAGTGTTGTGGTTACTGATAGGTCTGGTTTATAAGGGGAACAACTCTGTTAGATAGATAGTGTTGTGGTTACTGATAGGTCTGGTTTATAAGGGGAACAACTCTTAGTTAGATAGATAGTGTTGTGGGTTACTGATAGGTCTGGTTTATAAGGGGAACAACTCTGTTAGATAGATAGTGTTGTGGGTTACTGATAGGTCTGGTTTATAAGGGGAACAACTCTGTTAGATAGTGTTGTAGTTACTGATAGGTCTGGTTTATAAGGGGAACAACTCTGTTAGATAGTGTTGTGGTTACTGATAGGTCTGGTTTATAAGGGGAACAACTCTGTTAGATAGTGTTGTGGTTACTGATAGGTCTGGTTTATAAGGGGAACAACTCTGTTAGATAGTGTTGTGGTTACTGATAGGTCTGGTTTATAAGGGGAACAACTCTGTTAGATAGTGTTGTGGTTACTGATAGGTCTGGTTTATAAGGGGAACAACTCTGTTAGATAGATAGTGTTGTGGTTACTGATAGGTCTGGTTTATAAGGGGAACAACTCTGTTAGATAGTGTTGTGGTTACTGATAGGTCTGGTTTATAAGGGGAACAACTCTGTTAGATAGTGTTGTGGTTACTGATAGGTCTGGTTTATAAGGGGAACAACTCTGTTAGATAGATAGTGTTGTGGTTACTGATAGGTCTGGTTTATAAGGGGAACAACTCTTAGTTAGATAGATAGTGTTGTGGTTACTGATAGGTCTGGTTTATAAGGGGAACAACTCTGTTAGATAGTGTTGTGGTTACTGATAGGTCTGGTTTATAAGGGGAACAACACTGTTAGATAGTGTTGTGGTTACTGATAGGTCTGGTTTATAAGGGGAACAACTCTGTTAGATAGTGTTGTAGTTACTGATAGGTCTGGTTTATAAGGGGAACAACTCTTAGTTAGATAGATAGTGTTGTGGTTACTGATAGGTCTGGTTTATAAGGGGAACAACTCTTAGTTAGATAGATAGTGTTGTGGTTACTGATAGGTCTGGTTTATAAGGGGAACAACTCTTAGTTAGATAGATAGTGTTGTGGTTACTGATAGGTCTGGTTTATAAGGGGAACAACTCTTAGTTAGATAGATAGTGTTGTGGTTACTGATAGGTCTGGTTTATAAGGGGAACAACTCTTAGTTAGATAGATAGTGTTGTGGTTACTGATAGGTCTGGTTTATAAGGGGAACAACTCTGTTAGATAGTGTTGTGGTTACTGATAGGTCTGGTTTATAAGGGGAACAACTCTTAGTTAGATAGATAGTGTTGTGGTTACTGATAGGTCTGGTTTATAAGGGGAACAACTCTTAGTTAGATAGATCGTGTTGCGGTTACTGATAGGTCTGGTTTATAAGGGGAACAACTCTTAGTTAGATAGATAGTGTTGTGGGTTACTGATAGGTCTGGTTTATAAGGGGAACAACTCTTAGTTAGATAGTGTTGTGGTTACTGATAGGTCTGGTTTATAAGGGGAACAACTCTGTTAGATAGATAGTGTTGTAGTTACTGATAGGTCTGGTTTATAAGGGGAACAACTCTTAGTTAGATAGATAGTGTTGTGGTTACTGATAGGTCTGGTTTATAAGGGGAACAACTCTTAGTTAGATAAATAGTGTTGTGGTTACTGATAGGTCTGGTTACTGATAGGTCTGGTTTATAACCCACATGGGGTCCAAAGTCACGCTCTTGTTGTGACACCGCACACTCAGACAGTGGCAGACAGTCTCCAGTCATGTTGATGACAGAGAGAGCGAGCCAGGGTGAGGTAGAGGGACAGAGACAGTGGCAGACAGTCTCCAGTCATGTTGATGACAGAGAGAGCGAGCCAGGGTGAGGTAGAGGGACAGAGACAGTGGCAGACAGTCTCCAGTCATGTTGATGACAGAGAGAGAGAGCCAGGGTGAGGTAGAGGGACAGAGACAGTGGCAGACAGTCTCCAGTCCTGTTGATGACAGAGAGAGAGAGCCAGGGTGAGGTAGAGGGACAGAGACAGTGGCAGACAGTCTCCAGTCATGTTGATGACAGAGAGAGAGAACCAGGGTGCGGTAGAGTGACAGAGACAGTGATAGAATACAGGGAAGAATCCTGGTCTGATCTCCCACTGGGGCTCTCAGCACCAACCTGTTTGTGTGTCTGTACGTATATATATATATATATATGGTCCACTGAACATTACATGGCTCTGTTCAACATGAGGCAAACAAATAACTAATATGAAGCAACAATCCTCCATTCACTCCTTTCCTCCTCCTTTCTTTCTCTTCCTCTCCTCTCCTCTCCTCTCCTCTCCTCTCCTCTCCTCTCCTCTCCTCTCCTCTCCTCTCCTCTCCTCTCCTCTCCTCTCCTCTCCTCTCCTCTCCTCTCCTCTCCTCTCCTCTCCTCTCTCCAGTATAGTGCGGTGGATTCCAACCCCCTGTCAGTCTACGTCATGCACCCCTTCTGGAACTCAGTAGTCAAGGTGAGGACACGCACGCACACAGGTTATTGTGACTATGACGACAGTGTGTATTTTATGATAATGAGGTCTGTCTGCATCATTAATGAGGTTTCCACTGTCTGCTGAGATACAATAAAGTCGATCCTCTCTCTACCTCTACCCTTCTATCTCTCTCTCTCTATCTCTATCCCTCTCTCTCTCTGTCTCTATCTCTATCTCTCTCTCTCTCTCTCTGTCTATCTCTCTCTCTCTATCTCTATCCCTCTCTCTCTCTCTCTCTCTCTCTCGCTCTCTCTGTCTCTCTGTCTCTCTGTCTCTCTGTCTCTCTGTCTCTGTCTCTCTCTTTATTGGCATGGAAACCTATGTTTACATCGCATAAGCAAATTGGATAGACAAGAAACCAAAGGGAAATAAACAAGGGAAACATTAGTAAACATTACACTCACAAAAGTTTTCAAAGAATATAGACATTTCAATTGGCTATTTACAGTGTTGTAACAATGTGCAAGTAGATTTAGTATGAAAGAGAAAATAAATAGATAAATATATGTTGTATTTACAATGTGCCACTGGTTGCCCTTTTCTCAATGCAACGGGCCACAAATCTTTCTGCTTTGACTGCACATTTCACCTAACAGATATGGGAGTCTATCAATGTTTGATTTTTTTTCTAATTCTTTGTGGTCTGTGTAATCTGAGGGAAATATGTGTCTCTAATATGGTCATACATTTGGCAGGAGTTTAGGAAGTGCAGCTCAGTTTCCACCTCATTTTGTGGGCAGTGGGCACATAGCCTGTCTTCTCTTGAGAGCCAGGTCTGCCTACGGCGGCCTTTCTCAATAGCAAGGCTATGCTCACTGAGTCTGTACATAGTCAAAGCTTTCCTTAAGTTTGGGTCAGTCACAGTGGTCAGGTATTCTGCCACTGTGTACTCTCTGTTTAGGGCCAGATAGCATTCCAATTTGCTCTGTGTTTTGGTTGATTCTTTCCAGTGTGTCAAATAGTTATATTTTTGCTTTCTCATAATTTGGTTTGGTCTAAATGTGTTGCTGTCCTGAGGTCTGTTTATGTTTGTGAACAGAGCCCCAGGACCATCTGGCTGAGGGGACTCTTCTCCAGGTTAATCTCTCTGTAGGTGATGGCTTTGTGGTGGGGTCTGCTAAATGGCATATTATTATTATTATTATTATTATTATTATTATTATGTGTGGGCATCGCTTCCTTTTAGGTGGTTGTAGAAATTAACAGCTCTTTTCTGGATTTTGATAATTAGTGGGTGTGGTCCTAATCCTGCTCTGCATGCATTGTTTGGGTTTTTGCATTGTACACAAAGTATATTTTTGCAGAATTCTGCATGCAGAGTCTCAATTGGGTGTTTGTCCCATTTTGTAAATATTTTGGGTTGGTGAGTGGACCCCAGACCTCACAGCCATAGAGGGCAATGGGTTCGATAACTGATTCAAGTATTTTTAGCCAGATCCTAATTTGGATGTTGAGTTTATGTTCCTTTTTGAGCTGTCAGATCGTTCACAGCCCTGTGGAAGTTACCTGTGGTGTTGATGTTTAGGCCGAGGTAGGTGTAATTCTTTGTGTGCTCTTGTGCTTTGTGGGCAACAGTGTCTAGATATCATTTGTTGTCTTGGCTAGCTGACCTTTTTTGGAACACCGTTATTTTTGTCTTACTGAGATTTACTGTCAGGGCCCACGTCTGACAGAATCTGTGCTGAAGATCTAGGTGCTGCTGTAGGCCCTCCTTGGTCGGTGACAGAAGCACCAGATCATCAGCAAACAGTAAACATTTGACTTTAGAGTCTAGTAGGGTGAGGCCGGGTGCTGCAGACTTCTAGTGCCCTCACCAATTAATTGATATATATGTGGTCCTCTGTAGCTCAATTGGTAGAGCATGGCGCTTGTAACGCCAGGGTAGTGGGTTCGATCCCAGGGACCACCCATACGTAAAAATGTATGCACACATGACTGTAAGTCGCTTTGGATAAAAGCGTCTGCTAAATGGCATATTATTATTATTATATTATTGTTATGTTGAAGAAGGTGGTGCCCTCGCCAATTCGTTGATATATATGTTGAAGAAGGTGGGGCTTAAGTTGCATCCCTGTCTCACCCCACGGCCCTGTGGAAAGAAAATATATGTTATTTGCCTATTTTAACCGCACACTTGTTGTTTGTGTATATTGATTTTATGTCATTCCCCCCAACCCCATTTCCATCAATTTGTTTGTCAATTAGGGTGTGCAGGGTGAATACGTGGTCTGTCGTACGGTATTTTGGTAAGAAGCCAATTTGATATGTTGTTGTTTGTTTAGTGTGTTCCGATTTTCCCAGAAGTGATTTGATTCTATGGATTTCTTCAACCACAATGAGCTGATTTCTGACGTTCCTTCTTTTTCCGTAGTGTATTTCTGTATTGTTTTAGTGATTCACCATAGTGAAGGCTCAGGCTCAGGTTTTCTGGGTCTCTATGTTTTTGGTTGGATAGGTTTCTCAATTTCTTTCTTAGGTTTTTGCATTCTTCATCAAACCATTTATCATTGTTAGTTGTCTTAGGTTTTCTGCCGGAATAAAAATTTGATATGTTAGTTGATAGGTCAAATATATTGTTCAGGCATCTTACTGCTGAGTTTACACCTTCACTATTGCAGGAAAACATTTTGTCCAGGAAATTGTGTAGGAGGGATTGTATTTGTTGTTAGCCAATAGTTTTTTGGTAGGTTTCTACACTACCTTCCATCTATAGCATTTCTTAATAGTATGCAGGGGTGAGCTGTAGGTGTACCTACCATAGGAGTCTCCTCGAAGCCTACCATTGACTATGTACAGACCCAGCGTGCGACAGAGCTGCAGGAGTTGTGACCCATTTTTGTTGATGCCCAGGTGGTTAGCGCTTAACCTCTCTCTGTCTCTCTGTCTCTCTCTCTCTCTGTCTCTCTGTCTCTCTGTCTCTCCTCCAGGTGATGCCCAGGTGGTTAGCTCCTAACCTCATCACCTTCACTGGCTTCATGTTCCTGGTCTTCAACTTCCTCATGCTCTCTTTCTACGACTACCACTTTGATGCATCCGGTACGCCACCCGCCTGCCGTATATGTGGACACCCCTTCAAATTAGTGTATTCAGCTGATTCAGCCACACCCGTTGCTGACAGGTGTATAAAATCGAGCACACAGCCATGCAATCTCCATAGACCAACATTGGCAGTAGAATTGTGTTACTGAAGAGCTCAGTGACTTTCAACATGGCACCGTCATAGGATGCCACCTTTCCAACAAGTCAGTTCATGACATTTCTGCCCTTCTGGAGTAGCCCCGGTCAACTGTAAGTGCTGTTACTGTGAAGTGGAAACGTCTAGGAGCAACAACAGCTCAGCCGTGAATTGGTAGGCCACACAAGGGCTGAAGCGCTTAGCGCGTAAAAATAGTCTGTCCTTGGTTGCAACACTCACTACCTAGTTCCAAACTGCCTCTGGAAGCAACGTCAGCACAATAACTGTTCGTCGGGAGCTTCATGAAATGGGTTTCCATGGCCGAGCAGCCGCACACAAGCCTAAGATCACCATGCACAATGCCATGCGTCGGTTGGAGTGGTGTAAAGCTTGCCGCCATTGGAGCAAAATGCTACCTGCCCCAATGCATAGTGCCAACTGTGAAGTTTGGTGCAGGAGGAATAATGGTCTGGGGTTGTTTTTCATGGTTTGGGCTAGGCCCCTTAGTTCCAATGAAGGGAAATCTTAACGCTACAGCATATAACAACGTTCTAGATGATTCTATGCTTCCAACTTTGTGGCAACAGTTTGGGGAAGGCCCTTTCCTGTTTCAGCATGACAATGTGCCCGTTCACAAAGCGAGGTCCATATAGAAATGGTTTGTCGAAATCGTTGTGGAAGAACTTGACTGGCCTGTACAGAGCCCTGACCTCAACCCCATCGAACACCTTTGGGATGAATTGGAACGCCGACTGCGAGCCAGGCCTAATCGCCCAACATCAGTGCCCAACCTCACTAATGCTCTTGTGGCTGAATGGAAGCAAGTCCCCACAGCAATGTTCCAACATCTAGTGGAAAGCCTTCCCAGAAGAGTGGAGTCTGTTATAGCAGCAAAGGGGAGGACCAACTCCATATTAATGCCCATGATTTTAGAATGATAATTTCAATAATGTCCACATACTTTTGGCCACTCCATATTAATGCCCATGATTTTTGATGAGCTGTTTGGCGAGCAGGTGTCCACAACATTTTGGTCATGCAGTGTAGATGTTTTATTATTGTTAAATACACTTACAATTGGCTCAGAACAGAAAAAGATGTGATATTTTTTTAAACACATGTATTTCGACTATACGAGTACACAACATTTTGGTCATGCAGTGTATGTAAATGTATGTTTGCACAAAGTAACTGATGTTTGTGTTTTGTCTCAGCTGAAGGACAAACACACGTGCCGAGCTGGGTTTGGGTCGCTGCAGGACTCTCCAACTTCCTGGCGTACACACTGGGTGAGTCTGGGTACAGGGCCTTGCAGAACTATTCATCCCCCTTGGCTTTTTTCCTATTTTGTTGCATTACAACCTGTAATTTAAATGGATTTTTATTTGGATTTCATGTAATGGACGTACACAAAATAGTCCAAAGTGGTGCATAGTTACATATATATAGTTACAGTGAGGGGAAAAATTATTTGATCCCCTGCTGATTTTGTACGTTTGCCCACTGACAAAGACATGATCAGTCTATAATTTTAATGGTAGGTTTATTTGAACAGTGAGAGACAGAATAACAACAACAAAATCCAGATAAACGCATGTCAAAAATGTTATAAATTGATTTGCATTTTAATGAGATCCTGTAGAGGGCGTCCTGTAGAGGGCGTCCTGTAGAGGGCGTCCTGTAGAGGGCATCCTGTAGAGGGCATCCTGTTTAGTCTCAATACCGTAACTTACTTAGGCCTACAGTGGGGGAAAAAGTATTTAGTCAGCCACCAATTGTGCAAGTTCTCCCACTTAAAAAGATGAGAGAGGCCTGTAATTTTCATCATAGGTACACGTCAACTATGACAGACAAATTGAGAGAAAAAAATCCAGAAAATCACATTGTAGGATTTTTTATGAATTTATTTGCAAATTATGGTGGAAAATAAGTATTTGGTCACCTACAAACAAGCAAGATTTCTGGCTCACACAGACCTGTAACTTCTTCTTTAAGAGGCTCCTCTGTCCTCCACTCGTTACCTGTATTAATGGCACATGTTTGAACTTGTTATCAGTATAAAATACACCTGTCCACAACCTCAAACAGTCACACTCCAAACTCCACTATGGCCAAGACCAAAGAGCTGTCAAAGGACACCAGAAACAAAATTGTAGACCTGCACCAGGCTGGGAAGACTGAATCTGCAATAGGTAAGCAGCTTGGTTTGAAGAAATCAACTGTGGGAGCAATTATTAGGAAATGGAAGACATACAAGACCACTGATAATCTCCCTCGATCTGGGGCTCCACGCAAGATCTCACCCCGTGGGGTCAAAATGATCACAAGAACGGTGAGCAAAAATCCCAGAACCACACGGGGGGACCTAGTGAATGACATGCAGAGAGCTGGGACCAAAGTAACAAAGCCTACCATCAGTAACACACTACGCCGCCAGGGACTCAAATCCTGCAGTGCGAGACGTGTCCCCCTGCTGAAGTTTGCAAGAGTGCATTTGGATGATCCAGAAGAGGATTGGGAGAATGTCATATGGTCAGATGAAACCAAAAAAGAACTTTTTGGTAAAAACTCAACTCGTCGTGTTTGGAGGACAAAGAATGCTGAGTTGCATCCAAAGAACACCATACCTACTGTGAAGCATGGGGGTGGAAACATCATGCTTTGGGGCTGTTTTTCTGCAAAGGGACCAGGACGACTGATCCGTGTAAAGGAAAGAATGAATGGGGCCATGTATCGTGAGATTTTGAGTGAAAACCTCCTTCCATCAGTAAGGGCATTGAAGATGAAACGTGGCTGGGTCTTTCAGCATGACAATGATCCCAAACACACCGCCCGGGCAACGAAGGAGTGGCTTCGTAAGAAGCATTTCAAGGTCCTGGAGTGGCCTAGCCAGTCTCCAGATCTCAACCCCATAGAAAATCTTTGGAGGGAGTTGAAAGTCTGTGTTGCCCAGCGACAGCCCCAAAACATCACTGCTCTAGAGGAGATCTGCATGGAGGAATGGGCCAAAATACCAGCAACAGTGTGTGAAAACCTTGTGAAGACTTACAGAAACGTTTGACCTGTGTCATTGCCAACAAAGGGTATATAACAAAGTATTGAGAAACTTTTGTTATTGACCAAATACTTATTTTCCACCGTAATTTGCAAATAAATTCATATAAAATCCTACAATGTGATTTTCTGGATTTTTTTTCTTCTCATTTTGTCTGTCATAGTTGACGTGTACCTATGATGAAAATTACAGGCCTCTCTCATCTTTTTAAGTGGGAGAACTTGCACAATTGGTGGCTGACTAAATACTTTTTTCCCCCACTGTATATTTCAATACTTCTATAGGCTACTGTATTTATTAATTTTTTACTGTATCAATTAATCATTAATTTATTAATGTCATCACACAGCATACGAGTCATTCATTATTTGAATCAAGCATTTTAGTTTTAAAACAAAATAAAGCGAGACTTGAATAATTAGCTTAAACATTAAATAAACCGTTCCATTTTTGCAAATTGCATTAATGAAATAATGCGATTGTTTTTAGTCTTCGCTGTAATAAACTTTACAACAGACTCTGGTACGCTTATAATTTATTTATTGTTTACGTTGTTCCAAACGGTCCGAAAAAATGATATAGTGGAGCACATAATCTAACAGCACCTGTTTGGAGCAGATAATATACAGCAGAGCTAACAGCACCTGTTTGGAGCATAGCTAACAGCACCTGTTTGGAGCAGAGCTAACAGCACCTGTTTGGAGCAGAGCTAACAGCACCTGTTTGGAGCAGAGCTAACAGCACCTGTTTGGAGCAGAGCTAACAGCACCTGTTTGGAGCAGAGCTAACAGCACCTGTTTGGAGCAGAGCTAACAGCACCTGTTTGGAGCAGAGCTGCTCCTTACCTTAATGTTCTTGATCTCCAGTATTAGTCAACTAGTCCCATTTTATCCATCCATCTGAACTCCCCTTTACCTCCTGAGCAACCAGTAAACATTCCCCCGTCTCGAGTTAATTTGTCACGTCCTCTGCATCCATTTAGCTGTCAATGGGTTACGGTGTCCAGAGTTTGTTTGTGGCCAATTTATTGATGTGATTATGATGTTCCCTATTGGTCACGTAATGTATAGACAGCAAGGGTTGAGGGAATGTTTTTCCTAAACAAATGAGGGATTTCGGTAACAGAACTTTTCAGTCAGAAATGGCTGTAATCATGTTGCAGCTTCAGCAACACGGACAGCGCTATAAACACTGTTGATGTTCTGTGGTGGTCGCTGCAGAGCGAGACAACAGGTGCTAGTCAAAGTCACTCGCTGTCATTTTCTTTGTTACACAGCGCAGCAAATCTGGCACAATCAAATCAATTGCAGTCGGACTCCCTCTAGTCATTTGTGTGTCTTAATTATTTAATCAAACAGTGCACTTAAAGCATCAGATAAGGTCAGTGCATATAGTTGATTTGATTAAAACACATAGGATGTCTATATATGGAAAAATACACATTTTTAAAATGTAGGTCGACCAAGTTTTGTTTGGGTCAGAGACAGCCCTACTGCAGTGTCCATTAATTGTCCAAATTTCCGCTGTAGTATACGTCATTCCCAAACATATGAATTTTATGAAATCGTGAAAATGACCAGATGTCTCTCTCTCTGTCTCTCTCTCTGTCTCTCTCTCTGTTATAAAGACGGTGTGGATGGGAAGCAGGCGAGGCGTACTAACTCCTCCACACCACTGGGGGAGCTGTTTGACCACGGCCTGGACAGCTGGGCCTGTGTGTTCTTCGTGGCCACCGTCTACTCCATATTTGGGCGTGGAGAGAGCGGTGTGGGCGTGGCCACGTTGTACTACATCCTGTGGGTGGTCCTGTTCTCATTCATCCTGTCTCACTGGGAGAAATACAACACAGGAATCCTCTTCCTGCCCTGGGGCTATGACATCAGCCAAGTGGTGAGTAGGACACACTGCATACACACCTACCCCTCATCCTTCTGTCTACCCCTGTCTCACTCTGTCCCTCTCCGTCTCTGTCTCTCTCTCTGTCTCCATCTCTCTCTGCCTCTGTCTCAAATCAAATTGTATTTGCCACATGCGCCGAATACAACAGGTGTAGACATTACAGTGAAATGCTTACTTACAAGCCCTTAACCAACAATGCAGTTTTTAAGAAAAGAGAAAAAATAGATAAGTAAAAAGATAGATAATTAAAAAATAGCAAATAATTAAAGAGCAGCAGTAAAATAAAATAACAGTAGGGAGGCTATATAAAGGGGGTACCGGTGCAGAGTCAATGTGCGGGGGCACAGGCTAGTCGAGGTAATTGAGGTAATTTGTACATGTGTGTAGAGTTAAAGTGACTATGCATAGATAATAAACAGAGTAGCAGCAGCGTAAAAGAGGCGGGTGGGGTGGCAGTGCAAATAGTCCAGGTAGCCATGATTAGCTGTTCAGGAGTCTTATGGCTTGGGGGTAGAAGCTGTTAAGAAGCCTTTTGGACCTAGACTTGGCGCTCCGGCACCGCATGCCGTGCGGTAGCAGAGAGAACAGTCTATGACTAGGGTGGCTGGAGTCTTTGATCATTTTTAGGGCGTTCCTCTCTCACCACCTGGTATAGAGGTCCTGGATGGCAGGGAGCTTGGCTCCAGTGATGTACTGGGCCGTACGCACTACCCTCTGTAGTGCCTTACGGTCGGATGCCGAGCAGTTGCCATACCAGGCGGTGATGCAACCAGTCAGGATGCTCTCGATGGTGCAGCTGTAGAACCTATTGAGGATCTGGGGACCCATGCCAAATATTTTCAGTCTCCTGAGGGGGAATAGGTTTTGTCGTGCCCTCTTCACGGCTGTCTTGGTGTGTTTGGACCATGATAGTTCGTTGGTGATGTGGACACCAAGGAACTTGAAGCTCTCAACCTGTTCCACTACAGCCCCGTCGATGAGAATGGGGGCGTGCTCAGTCCTCTTTTTTTTCCTGTAGTCCACAATCATCTCCTTTGTCTTGGTCACGTTGAGGGAGAGGTTGTTGTCCTGGCACCACACGGCCAGGTCTCTGACCTCCTCCCTATAGGCTGTCTCATCGTTGTCGGTGATCAGGCCTACCACTGTTGTGTCGTCGGCAATTGAGACCATCATGTCAGGCTGTATCACAGCCTGGTAGGCAACTGCACCGCCCACAACCGCAGGGTTCTCCAGAGGGTGGTGCGGTCTGCCCAACGCATCACCGGGGGCAAACTACCCGCCCTCCAGGACACCTACAGCACCCGATGTCACAGGAAGGCCAAAAAGATCATCAAGGACATCATCCACCCGAGCCACTGCCTGTTCACCCCGCTATCATCCAGAAGGCGAGGTCAGTACAGGTGCATCAAAGCTGGGACAGAGAGACTGAAAAACAGCTTCTATCTCAAGGCCATCAGACTGTTAAATAGCCATCACTAGCTGGCTACCACCCGGTTACTCAACCCTGCACCTTAGAGGCTGCTGCCCAATATACATAGACATGGAACACTAGTCACTTTAATAATGTTTCCATATCTTGCACTACTCATCTCATATGTATATACTGTATTCTATTCTATAATATTCTACTGTAACTTAGTCCTGCCGCTCTGTCATTGCTTGTCCATATATGAATACAGTGAGCTCCATAATTCATTGGACAGTGACCATTTTTTTGTTATTTTGGTTCTGTACTCTAGCACTTTGAGTTTGAAAGGATACAATGACAATGAGGGTGAAGTGCAGACTGTCAGCTTTAATTTGAGGGTATTTTCATTTTCATACATATCGGATGAACCGTTTAGAAATGACAGCACCTTTTGTACATGGTCCCCCCATTTTAAGGTACTACAAGTATTTGTTAAATTGTCTTCACAGATGTGTGTCGTTTGGCAGGTGTATTCATTTGTGTCGTTAGTGAATGCAGGAGAGCTGTTGATTAATAGTATCGATTCTAGACGTTGCTATTGCCTTTTGGAGGTTGTTATTGGGGTGTGACAACATGAGGAAGACAGCAGTGTCGATGCAAATGAAGCTGGCCGTCATAAGGCTCAGAAATGAAAATCAATCAGGAACATTGCAAAAACCCTGGCCATGCCCAAGTCAACAGTTTGGTTCATCATTAACAAGAAAAAAACAACCGGTGAACTCAATTATGTCCAAAAGACCCGGTAGACGGAGGAAGACCACTGTAGTGGATGACCGGAGAATACTCTCTATGGTGAAGAAAACCCCCCTGACAACAGCCCAACAGATCAAAAACACTCTCCTGGATGCAGGTGTAGATGTGTCAAAGTCTACCATACGTAGAAGACTACACCAGCAGGACTACAGAGGGTTACACTACAAGATGCAAACCACTGATAAGCCTGAAGAACAGAAAGGCAAGATTACAGTTTGCTAAAAAGCACCTAAAAGAGCCCCAAGAGTTCTGGAAAAAAAGTATTGTGGACAGATGAGACAAAGATTAACATGTACCAGAGGGATGGAAAGAGGAAAGTGTGGAGGAAAAAACAGAAATGCCCATGATCCAAAGCATACCACCTCATCCGTGAAACATGGTGGAGGGGGTGTTATGGCTTGGGCCTGTATGGCTGCCAGTGGAACAGGCTCACTTGTCTTCATCGATGATGTGACTGCAGACAGAAGTAGAACAATGAATTCTTAAGTCTACAGAAATATTTTATCTGCTCAGATAAAACCAAATGCCTCCAAACTCATTGGACGGCACTTCATCATGCAACAAGACAATGACCCTAAACATACTGCTAGAGCAACAAAGGGGTTTTTGATGGCCAAAAAGTGGAAAGTCCTTGACTGGCCGAGTCAATCACCGGATCTGAATCCAATTGAACATGCATTTTACATGCTGAAGAGGAGACTGAAGGCAATAAGTCTCCGAAACAAGCAGGAACTGAAGATGGCTGCAGTACAGGCCTGGCAGAGCATCACCAGGGAAGATACCCAGCGTCTGGTGATATCGATGCATCGCAGACTTCAAGCAGTCATTGCATGCAAAGGATATGCGACCAAATATTAACAATGATTACTTTATTATATATTATGTTAAACTGTCCAATGTTTTTTGATGCCTGAAAATGGGGGGGACCATGTACAAAAGCTTCCATCATTTCTAAACGGTTCATCCGATATGTATGAAAATACCCTCAAATTAAAGCTGACAGTCTGCACTTCACCCTCATTGTCATTGTATCCTTTCAAACTCAAAGTGCTAGAGTACAGAACCAAAATAACAAAACAAAAATCACTGTCCAATGAATTATGGAGCTCACGGTATATTCTTAAATTCCATTCCTTACTAGATTTGTGTGTATTGGGTATATGTTGTGGAATTGTTAGATATTACTTGTTAGATATTACTGCAATGTCGGAGCTAGAAGCACAAGCATTTCGCTACACCCGCAATAACATCTGCTAAACACGTGTATGTGACAAATAACATTTGATTTGAATTGGTTAGAGGGCTGTAAAACGGCAGCCATTTTCTCCGGCGCCATTCTCTGTCTCTCTGTTTCTGTCTCTCTGTCTCTGTCTCTCTCGCTTGCTCACTCTCTCAATTCAATTCAATTTAAGGGCTTTATTGGCATGGGAAACGTGTGTTAACATTGCCAAAGCAAGTGAAGTAGATAGTAAACAAAAGTGAAATAAACAATAAATATTAACAGTAAACATTACACTCAGAAGTTTCAAAAGAATAAAGACATTTCAAATGTCATATTATGTATATATACAGTGTTGCAACCATGTGCAAATAGTTAAAGTACAAAGGGGAAAATAAATCAACATAAATATGGGTTGTATTTACAATGGTGTTTGTTCTTCACTGGTTGCCCTTTTCTTGTGGCAACAGGTCACAAATATTGCTGCTGTGATGGTACACTGTGGTATTTCACCCAATAGATAAGGGAGTTTATCAAAATTGGGTTTGTTTTTGAATTCTTTGTGTATGTGTTTAATCTGAGGGAAATACGTGTCTCTAATATGGTCATACATTTGGCAGGAGGTTAGGAAGTGCAGCTCAGTTTCCACCTCATTTTGTGGGCAGTGTGCACATAGCCTGTCTTCTCTTGAGAGCCAGGTCTGCCTATGGCGGCCTTTCTCAATAGCAAGGCTATGCTCACTGAGTCTTTACATAGTCAAAGCTTTCCTTAAGTTTTGGTCAGTCACAGTGGTCAGGTATTCTGCCACTGTGTACTCTCTCTCTGTCTCTCTCTCCCTCTCTCACTCTGTCTCTCGGCCTCTCTCTCTCTCCCTGTCTCACGGTCTCTGTCTCTCGGTCTCTGTCTCTCTCTCTCTGTCTCTCTCTCCCTCTCTGTCTCTCTCTCTTTCTCTCTCTCTCTCTTTCTCTCTGTCTCTCTCTCTCTCTGTCTCTCTCAAATTCAAGCTGCTTTATTGGCATGAAAAACATTGCGTCGATATTGCCAAAGTAACAATATATACAATATACATTGTAATAAAATAATTAGCAAATAATAATATAAAATGGTAGTAAATAATAATACAAAAAACAAAACAAAAATGGTAACAGTCAATAGTAGAAACATACTCTCTCTCTCTCTCTCTCTGTCTCTCTCTCTCTCTCTCTCTCTCTCTCTCTCTCTCTCTCTCTCTCTCTCTCTGTCTCTCTCTCTCTGTCTCTCTCTCTCTCTCTCTCTCTCTCTCTCTCTCTCTCTCTCTGTCTCTCTCTCTCTGTCTCTCTCTCTCTCTCTCTCTCCCTCTCCCTCTCCCTCTCTCTCTGTGTCTGTCTGTCTCTCTCTCTCTCTCTCCCTCTCCCTCTCTCTCTGTGTCTGTCTGTCTCTCTCTCTCTCTCTCCCTCTCCCTCTCTCTCTGTGTCTGTCTCTCTCTCTCTCCCTCTCCCTCTCTCTCTGTGTGTCTCTCTCTCTCTAAAAGTGAAATAAACAATAAATATTAACAGTAAACATTACACTCAGAAGTTCCAAGGGTTTGTTTTCGAATTATTTGTGGATCGCTGTAATCTGAGGGAAATATGTGTCTCTAATATGGTCATACATTTGGCAGGAGGTTAGGAAGTGCAGCTCAGTTTCCACCTCATTTTGTGGGCAGTGTGCACATAGCCTGTCTTCTCTTGAGAGCCAGGTCTGCCTACGGCGGCCTTTCTCAATAGCAAGGCTATGCTCACTGAGTCTGTACATAGTCAAAGCTTTCCTTAAGTTTGGGTCAGTCACAGTGGTCAGGTATTCTGCCACTGTGTACTCTCTGTTTAGGGCCAAATAGCATTCTAGTTTGCTCAGTTTTTTTGTTAATTCTTTCCTATTTGTCAAGTAATTCTCTTTTTTTTTTCTCATGATTTGGTTGAGTCTAATTGTGTTGTTGTTGTTGTCCTGGGGCTCTGTGGGGTCTGTTTGTGTTTGTGAACAGAGCCCCAGGACAAGCTTACTTAGGGGACTCTTCTCCAGGTTCATCTCTCTGTAGGTGATGGCTTTGTTATGGAAGGTTTGGGAATCGCTCCCTTTTAAGTGGTTATAGAATTTAACGGCTCTTTTCTGGATTTTGATAATTAGTGGATATCGGCCTAATTCTGCTCTGCATGCATTATTTGGTGTTTCTCGTTGTACAAGGAGGATATTTTTGCAGAATTCTGAATGCAGAGTCTCAATTTGGTGTCTCTCTCTCTGTGTCTCTCTCCCAGACCATCTCTATAGTGTACATCTTCACAGCAGTGGTTGGCGTGGAGACGTGGTATGAACCAATCTGGTGGAACTTCCACTACCGAGACCTCTTCACTTTCATGATCCTCGGTGAGCTCCCATTGGTCAGATTACCGCTGTCTGAGCTGTGATTGGTCCGTTTTGTGCACTGTGCAGTGTGATTGGTTCTGATTTGATGTAAATTGATATTGTGTTCTGATTGGTTGTCCGTGATGTCACATCCAGGTTGTTCGTTCACTGTGACCCTTCCCATGAGCCTCTACAACGTCTTCAAGTAAGTTACAACCTTTATGTTACTGTTCAGACTCGACATGTCAACAGAAGCTACTTTAGGGACATTAACTGATACTTTGTGTTCTAGTAACTTCCAACTCTTAGCTTTTAGTGTTTTGCTCTGATAAACTCAGTTCTCCTTCAGACTCAACATGTCAGGTAGGTTTAGCTACACTGCGTTAACCTTAGCTCACGCTTAGCTTTCTGTTTTGATCTGAAGTTAAGATTTCACTGTTGGACCCCAGGATGAGGAGCTGCATTAGCAACAGCTAGTGGGGGATCCCAGTAAACTAAACTAACAGCTAACGGGGGATCCTAGTAAACTAAACTAACAGCTAGTGGGGGATCCTAGTAAACTTGTGGTCCTCTGTAGCTCAGCTGGTAGAGCACGGCGCTTGTAACGCCAAGGTAGTGGGTTCGATCCCCGGGACCACCCATACACAAAAATGTATGCACGCACGACTGTAAGTCGCTTTGGATAAAAGCGTCTGCTAAATGGCATATTATTATTATTATTATTATTATAAACTAACAGCTAACGGGGGATCCTAGTAAACTAAACTAACAGCTAGTGGGGGATCCCAGTAAACTAAACTAACAGCTAACGGGGGATCCTAGTAAACTAAACTAACAGCTAACGGGGGATCCTAGTAAACTAAACTAACAGCTAGTGGGGGATCCCAGTAAACTAAACTAACAGCTAGTGGGGGATCCTAGTAAACTAAACTAACAGCTAGTGGGGGATCCTAGTAAACTAAACTAACAGCTAACGGGGGATCCCAGTAAACTAAACTAACAGCTAACGGGGGATCCCAGTAAACTAAACTAACAGCTAACGGGGGATCCTAGTAAACTAAACTAACAGCTAGTGGGGGATCCTAGTAAACTAAACTAACAGCTAGTGGGGGATCCTAGTAAACTAAACTAACAGCTAGTGGGGGATCCCAGTAAACTAAACTAACAGCTAGTGGGGGATCCCAGTAAACTAAACTAACAGCTAGTGGGGGATCCTAGTAAACTAAACTAACAGCTAGTGGGGGATCCCAGTAAACTAAACTAACAGCTAGTGGGGGATCCTAGTAAACTAAACTAACAGCTAACGGGGGATCCCAGTAAACTAAACTAACAGCTAACGGGGGATCCTAGTAAACTAAACTAACAGCTAGTGGGGGATCCCAGTAAACTAAACTAACAGCTAGTGGGGGATCCTAGTAAACTAAACTAACAGCTAGTGGGGGATCCTAGTAAACTAAACTAACAGCTAACGGGGGATCCCAGTAAACTAAACTAACAGCTAACGGGGGATCCCAGTAAACTAAACTAACAGCTAACGGGGGATCCTAGTAAACTAAACTAACAGCTAGTGGGGGATCCCAGTAAACTAAACTAACAGCTAGTGGGGGATCCCAGTAAACTAAACTAACAGCTAACGGGGGATCCCAGTAAACTAAACTAACAGCTAACGGGGGATCCCAGTAAACTAAACTAACAGCTAACGGGGGATCCTAGTAAACTAAACTAACAGCTAGTGGGGGATCCCAGTAAACTAAACTAACAGCTAGTGGGGGATCCTAGTAAACTAAACTAACAGCTAGTGGGGGATCCCAGTAAACTAAACTAACAGCTAGTGGGGGATCCCAGTAAACTAAACTAACAGCTAGTGGGGGATCCCAGTAAACTAAACTAACAGCTAGTGGGGGATCCTAGTAAACTAAACTAACAGCTAGTGGGGGATCCTAGTAAACTAAACTAACAGCTAACGGGGGATCCCAGTAAACTAAGCTAACAGCTAGTGGGGGATCCCAGTAAACTAAACTAACAGCTAACGGGGGATCCTAGTAAACTAAACTAACAGCTAGTGGGGGATCCCAGTAAACTAAACTAACAGCTAGTGGGGGATCCTAGTAAACTAAACTAACAGCTAGTGGGGGATCCCAGTAAACTAAACTAACAGCTAGTGGGGGATCCCAGTAAACTAAACTAACAGCTAGTGGGGGATCCCAGTAAACTAAACTAACAGCTAGTGGGGGATCCTAGTAAACTAAACTAACAGCTAGTGGGGGATCCTAGTAAACTAAACTAACAGCTAACGGGGGATCCCAGTAAACTAAACTAACAGCTAACGGGGGATCCCAGTAAACTAAACTAACAGCTAACGGGGGATCCCAGTAAACTAAACTAACAGCTAGTGGGGGATCCTAGTAAACTAAACTAACAGCTAACGGGGGATCCCAGTAAACTAAACTAACAGCTAGTGGGGGATCCCAGTAAACTAAACTAACAGCTAGTGGGGGATCCTAGTAAACTAAACTAACAGCTAACGGGGGATCCTAGTAAACTAAACTAACAGCTAGTGGGGGATCCCAGTAAACTAAACTAAAAGCTAGTGGGGGATCCTAGTAAACTAAACTAACAGCTAGTGGGGGATCCCAGTAAACTAAACTAACAGCTAGTGGGGGATCCTAGTAAACTAAACTAACAGCTAACGGGGGAAGGTAAACTAAACTAACAGCTAACGGGGGATCCTAGTAAACTAAACTAACAGCTAGTGGGGGATCCCAGTAAACTAAACTAACAGCTAGTGGGGGATCCTAGTAAACTAAACTAACAGCTAGTGGGGGATCCTAGTAAACTAAACTAACAGCTAACGGGGGATCCCAGTAAACTAAACTAACAGCTAACGGGGGATCCCAGTAAACTAAACTAACAGCTAACGGGGGATCCTAGTAAACTAAACTAACAGCTAGTGGGGGATCCTAGTAAACTAAACTAACAGCTAGTGGGGGATCCTAGTAAACTAAACTAACAGCTAGTGGGGGATCCTAGTAAACTAAACTAACAGCTAGTGGGGGATCCCAGTAAACTAAACTAACAGCTAGTGGGGGATCCTAGTAAACTAAACTAACAGCTAGTGGGGGATCCCAATAAACTAAACTAACAGCTAGTGGGGGATCCTAGTAAACTAAACTAACAGGTAACGGGGGATCCCAGTAAACTAAACTAACAGCTAGTGGGGGATCCCAGTAAACTAAACTAACAGCTAACGGGGGATCCCAGTAAACTAAACTAACAACAGCTAGTGGGGGATCCTAGTAAACTAAACTAACAACAGCTAGTGGGGGATCCTAGTAAACTAAACTAACAGCTAACGGGGGATCTCAGTAAACTAACAACAGCTAGTGGAGGATCCTAGTAAACTAAACTAACAGCTAGTGGGGGATCCTAGTAAACTAAACTAACAACAGCTAGTGGGGGATCCTAGTAAACTAAACTAACAACAGCTAGTGGGGGATCCTAGTAAACTAACAACAGCTAACGGGGGATCCTAGTAAACTAAACTAACAGCTAACGGGGGATCCCAGTAAACTAAACTAACAGCTAACGGGGGATCCCAGTAAACTAAACTAACAACAGCTAGTGGGGGATCCTAGTAAACTAAACTAACAACAGCTAGTGGGGGATCCTAGTAAACTAAACTAACAGCTAACGGGGGATCTCAGTAAACTAACAACAGCTAGTGGGGGATCCTAGTAAACTAAACTAACAGCTAGTGGGGGATCCTAGTAAACTAAACTAACAACAGCTAGTGGGGGATCCTAGTAAACTAAACTAACAGCTAGTGGGGGATCCTAGTAAACTAAACTAACAGCTAATGGGGGATCTCAGTAAACTAACAACAGCTAGTGGGGGATCCTAGTAAACTAAACTAACAGCTAGTGGGGGATCCTAGTAAACTAAACTAACAGCTAACGGGGGATCCTAGTAAACTAAACTAACAGCTAGTGGGGGATCCTAGTAAACTAAACTAACAGCTAACGGGGGATCCTAGTAAACTATACTAAACTAACAGCTAACGGGGGATCCTAGTAAACTAAACTAACAGCTAACGGGGGATCCTAGTAAACTATACTAAACTAACATCTAACGGGGGATCCTAGTAAACTATACTAAACTAACAGCTAACGGGGGATCTTAGTAAACTAAACTAACAGCTAACGGGGGATCTTAGTAAACTAAACTAACAGCTAGTGGGGGATCCTAGTAAACTAAACTAACAGCTAACGGGGGTTCCTAGTAAACTAAACTAACAGCTAACGGGGGATCCCAGTAAACTAAACTAAAAACAGCTAGTGGGGGATCCCAGTAAACTAAACTAACAGCTAACGGGGGATCTTAGTAAACTAAACTAACAGCTAACGGGGGATCCTAGTAAACTAAACTAACAGCTAACGGGGGATCTTAGTAAACTAAACTAACAGCTAACGGGGGATCCTAGTAAACTAAACTAACAGCTAACGGGGGATCCTAGTAAACTAAACTAACAGCTAACGGGGGATCCTAGTAAACTAAACTAACAGCTAGTGGGGGATCCTAGTAAACTAAACTAACAGCTAGTGGGGGATCCTAGTAAACTAAACTAACAGCTAACGGGGGATCCTAGTAAACTAAACTAACAGCTAACGGGGGATCCTAGTAAACTAAACTAACAGCTAGTGGGGGATCCTAGTAAACTAAACTAACAGCTAGTGGGGGATCCTAGTAAACTAAACTAACAGCTAGTGGGGGATCCTAGTAAACTAAACTAACAGCTAACGGGGGATCCTAGTAAACTAAACTAACAGCTAGTGGGGGATCCTAGTAAACTAAACTAACAGCTAACGGGGGATCCTAGTAAACTAAACTAACAGCTAACGGGGGATCCTAGTAAACTAACAACAGCTAACGGGGGATCCTAGTAAACTAAACTAACAGCTAACGGGGGATCCTAGTAAACTAAACTAACAGCTAACGGGGGATCCTAGTAAACTAAAGTAACAGCTAACGGGGGATCCCAGTAAACTAAACTAACAGCTAACGGGGGATCCTAGTAAACTAAAGTAACAGCTAACGGGGGATCCTAGTAAACTAAACTAACAGCTAACGGGGGATCCTAGTAAACTAACAACAGCTAACGGGGGATCCTAGTAAACTAAACTAACAGCTAACGGGGGATCCTAGTAAACTAAACTAACAACAGCTAACGGGGGATCCTAGTAAACTAATCTAACAACTTACTTGATCTTGACAGGGCTTTAGAGCTAACCCTTCACCCCTCCCTCTCTGTCTCCTCCCCCCCCTCCCTCTCTCAGGGCGTCTCGTAGTAACACTCTGAAACACAGCAGTATGTACGAGGCCTTCCTCCCCTTCCTCTCTCCTGTCCTCCTCTTCCTCCTCTCCTCTGCCTGGGTGATATTCTCTCCATCAGACATCCTCCAGCAGCAGCCCAGAGTCTTCTACCTCATGGTGGGAACAGCCTTCGCTAACGTCACCGTGAGTCACACTACACCAGGGATGGCAGCCTTCTGTCTGCAGGACCGCGGGATCTCAACCTACTCTTGAGTTAGAATAGTAGAATACACAAAGTTACATTTCCAAATTTGGTTGTGCATCATCAGTTTTTCTCTTATGTGAGTCACTGACAGCTACATATAAAAAAAGCTGCCAGCTATCTAAACTTGTAGTAATCATGGTCGAATTACCGAAACGAGGGGCGCCCATTGATTTTGTTAGTCACTCTCACTCAGATGTCACATTCAAAACTGCAACCATTTCTCACCACCCTATGGCAAAATGTGTAGAATTGCAGGAAATTAACTCTAGAGGGGGGCTGATAAAATGTTTTGCTCACAAGGTTGGGGGGGGTGTGGGGGTCAAACAATTGGTCCTCTGTAGCTGAATTTGTAGAGCATGGCGCTTGTAACGCCAGGGTAGTGGGTTCGATCCCCGGGACCACCCATACGTAAAAATGTATGCACACATGACTGTAAGTCGCTTTGGAGAAAAGCGTCTGCTAAATGGCATATTATTATTATTATTATTATAAAAGGCCAGGACTGGCTCTGATTGCACGTGGGTATGGCTGTGGTAGCAGAGTCACCATCCCTGCTCTCCACAGATAAAGGTACACCTAGATATGGAACTCCGTAACTGCTAAGTCTGTGTGTGTGTGTGTCTGTGTGTGTGTGTGTCTGTGTGTGTGTGTGTGTCTGTGTGTGTGCGTCTGTGTGTGTGCGTCTGCAGTGTAAGCTGATCGTGTGCCAGATGAGTAACACCCGTTGCCAGCCGCTGAGCTGGCTGTTGGTTCCCATGGCGACGGTGGTGTTGTTGGCAGTTACAGGGCTGGTTGCTAACGAGACGCTGTTGATCTACGTGTGGACGGCCATCGTCATACTCACACACATACACTACGGAGTGTCAGTGGTGAGTACACATACATATACTACGGAGGGTCAGTGGTGAGTACACATACATATACTACGGAGGGTCAGTGGTGAGTACACATACATATACTACGGAGGGTCAGTGGTGAGTACACATACATATACTACGGAGGGTCAGTGGTGAGCAGGGTGGGACATTTACTGCAGTGGCTGGTGAATGCCCTAATTTTACCAGCCACTCAAATATTTTATCAGCGACTCAAATATTTTACCAGCCACTCAAATGTTTTACTAGCCACATTTTCCTTTTAAGAGATTCTCAAAAGGTTAGGGTTAGATAAATCACAGAAAACACTGTACCCCACCCCGCTTTCACCACTGGAGCGGTTGAGATTCTCTCAATTACTTAAAATTAGTAATCGAGGAATGTCGTGAGTTAATTGACACGAGAAAACCTGAGATAATATCAACTCTACAGATCGCAAAGAATACAATGAATGGCTAAATTACTTCCTGACATCTTCCTGACTTCCTGGGATCCTCCTCTTCACCACTCTGTGGCTGGTCAGAATAGAGATTCTACCAGCCAATGGCAAAATCTACCAGCATTTGGCTGATGGCTGGTGTTAATTTCACACCCTGGTAGTGAGTGTTGTTGTTTTTGGTTAGCAAGCAATTGGGTGCTGCTAGTTAGCTACCTAGCTTGTAAATCCGAGTTGAAATTAGGTAGCTAGCTAGTTAACGTTAGCGAGGAGGGATTTTAGCTAGCCAGCTCATATTGACACATTATTGAAAGCTAACTAGCTACATCCTAGCCAGCAAGGTTTGCTTGATTAGCTTGCTAGTAGCCGATGTCATGGCAAGCAAGGTAAGAGTTTAGCTAGGTAGCCTATTTGTTATGCTAGTGAATGACGATGCTAACCATTTAGCTAGCTAGTAAGCTAAGAATGTGGCTAGCTGGCACTGGCAATATGGGGTAACGGTAGTTACATCGTGGTGAGATGCTAGCATGGCCATGTAGTTAGATATCAGCAAATCATCTAGCTACCTAGTTAGCAACATAGCACAGCTAGCTGCACAGTTACATCGTTACCTAGGAAACAAATTACATCTGAATTCTCATTTTGCCCCCAGTGGCAGACCTGATCACTGTGGAACACATCAGCTAGTGACCAATCGATAAAGGGCTCAGGACCAAATGTTCGCTTTGAGATTCAGCCAATGTAAGTCAAATGACAAACTCTCTCTCCACCCCCCCCCCCCCCCCCCTTCTCTCCCCCCCCTCCCCTTCTCCTCTCCTCCCCCCTTCTCCCCCCCTTCTCTCCCCCCCCCCCCCCCCCCCCTTCTCCTCTCCTCCCCCCTCTCTCCAGGTGAACCAGCTCAGCGATCACTTCAACATCTTTGCCTTCTCTCTGATGAAGCCCAGCACTGACTGACAGGACCAGGAGCGAATCGGCTTGCAGGGAGCAGAGGTTTAGACCCTCCCACCTCCCTCTGCAGCCAACCGACACTTCACTCTCATCACCACGGAAACACACCACTCACCCCCCATCTGATCTCCGGTCCTCCACCCTGACTCTCACCCCAACCCCCTTCATGCCAAGTGTCCGTTTGGGGGCGGTCCTCAGGACTGTGGGGGCGGCACCCCGGGCTCTTGGTTCCGTGGCTGCTGATAGGTTGAGCTGATGAGCCAATGAGATGTTGTTTCCTACGGAAATATTATTCAGCCGTGAGGACAGGAGCCCAGACACACACACACACACACACACACTGCTTACACCCAAACACACACACACACACACACTGCTTACACCCAAACACACACACACACTGCTTACACACACACACACACACACCCAAACACACACACACACACACACACACACACACACACCCAAACACACTGCTTACACCCAAACACACTTAGACACACACACACCCAAACACACACACACACACACCCAAACACACTGCTTACACCCAAACACACTGCTTACACCCAAACACACTGCTTACACCCAAACACACTTAGACACACACACACACTCTTATGAATGTACAGTATGTTATTGCCTTGGGGAAATGTAATTTCAGTTAGTTAGTTTGACAGACAGCTCTGCTCCTCCCCTGAACCATGCGGTTGGTCCATCGGTCGGTGTGTCACGGTTCTATCAAGGCTATGAAGGCGGAGTCTCAGCTGTGCTCTTGTCTTCTGATTGGAGTGTTGAGGGGAAGTGAAACTGTCTGTCTTTATATGGCAACATGATTATTAAAATGGGGTTTTGTTTATTTATTTAGAGAAAAAACAGAACAAATATAATATTGTTATTATCTAGAAATACTCGGGTAATTCAGCGGAGGTGAAACACTACACACACGCTTGGTGATGACGGTTGGTAGTCTGAGTTTACTGTGAGGACAGTTCTGACCAATCAGGGCCCTTTGGGGGGCGAGACGGAGGGTGGAAACACCCAATCACAGACCTCACTCAGCGCTGACCCCAGGATGACCCCTGAGCTGTGAACTGTAGTGACCCCTGACCTCTGTAGTCTGAACTCTGACCTCCAGGCTCCTCCCACCGCCGAAGTGTCGTCGTGGCAACAGGCCGATTCGTGCTCAAGTTCTTTTTTAGAATGATTTTTATTTGTATTTCCTCTGTATTGTCTGTTAATCTCCCATAGCTGGGGTGTGTGTGTGTGTGTGTGTGTGTTGGTAGCAGCAGCACTTGAATGAAGAGTGTGTCTAAAAGCCGCCAGCGGAGCGACCCACTCTGAGGGAACAGGCTGCCATAACGACAACCCCATGAGATATACCTGTCACTGTCTGTATCACTGTAACACCTGGTATACACCTGTAACACTGTCTATGTCTGTCTATTCCTTCTGTTGGACCAACGTCTGTTTGTTTGCCTGATTATCCATTATGTTGACCAGATACTCTATTGGCCGCAATGAAAAGAAATGTCTTTTAAAAAGGCAGTCGGGGAGGAGATCAGGTGGGACCATTCTAGCCAATGAGAGGGCAGATACGCATGTGAAGAACAGGCACAATGGTTACCACAGCCACAAAGTCAAAATTCGCTATATTGTTTTTTGTTTTAAATAAGGTTAGGGTTAGGCATAAGGTTAGCAGTGTGGGTAAGTTTAGGGTTTGGTTTAAAATCACATTTTAAGAACAGAAATGTAAGATATAGGCGGGGTTGATCAAATATAATATTATTGGTCGTTGGACACATATTTTGCTGATGTTATCGCCGGTGCAGCGAAATGCTTATATTCCTAGATCCAACAGCTCAGTAATACTGAGCAATACAAAACAATACACACAAATCCAAAATATTAAAGATATCGTCTGCAAACTTGATGATTCAATTGGAGACATGCATGGCCACAGGAGGGGGCTGAGTACGCACCCTTATGGGGTCCCTGTGTTGAGGATCAGCGAAGTGGAGATATTGTTTCCTACCTTCACCACCTGGGGCGGCCCGTCAGGAAGTCCAGGACCCAGTTGCACAGGGCAGGGTTCAGATCCAGGGACCCGAGCTTAATGATGAGCTTGGAGGGTACTATGGTGTTGAATGCTGAGCTATAGTCAATGAACAGCATTCTTACATAGGTATTCCTCTTGTCCAGATGGGATAGGGCAGTGTGATGGCGATTGTATCGTCTGTGGATCTATTGGGGCAGTAAGCAAATTGAAGTGGGTCTAGGGTGTCAGGTAAGGTAGAGGTGATATGATCCTTAACTAGCCTCTCAAAGCACTTCATGATGACAGAAGTGCGTGCTACGGGGTGATAGTCATTTAGTTAAGTTACCTTTGCTTTCTTGGGTACAGGAACAATGGTGCGGCTAGGGATGCCATCTGGACTGGCCGCCTTAAGAGGGTTGACACGCTGAAATGTCTTACGTCTCTCCTCGTGAGTGGCGGTTGCCCACATCAGCTGCACTGTGTTTTCCTTGAAGCGGGAGAAGGCGTTTAGCTTGTCCGGGAGAAGGTGTCTGTGTCCGACGTGGCTGGTTTTCCCTTTATAATACGTGATTGTCTGGAGACCCTGTCACATACGTCTCGTGTCTGAGCCGTTGAATTGAGACTTTCTCTGTCCGACGTTTTGCCTGTTTGATTGGCTTACGGAGGGAATAGCTGGACTGTTTGTACTCGTCCATATTCCCAGTCACGTTGCCGTGGTTAAATGCTGTGGTTTGCATTTTCAGTTTTGCGCGAATGCTGCCATCTGTCAACTGTTATTGGTTTGGATAAGTTCTAATCGTCACAGTGGTAACAACTTCCTCTATGCACCTCCTGATGAACTGAGGCATTGTATATGTCAATGTTGGTAAATTGCGATTGGTCAGACCAACGTCGAACAGTCCTTACTACGGGTACTTCCTGTTTAAGTTTCTACCTATAGGAAGGGAGGAGCAGAATGGAGACGTGATCTGATTTGCCAAAGGCAGGGCGGGGGAGGGCCTTGTAGCTCTCCTGGAAGGGGGAGTAGCAGTGGTCAATCATTTTTAATTTGCGAGTAGCGCATGTGATGTGTTAAATTCGGTAGCGTTTTCCTCAGATTTGCTTTATTAAAGCTACAATAAAGGCGGCCTCAGGATATGCAATTTCCAGTTTGCACAAAGTCCAGTGTAGTTCCTTGAGAGCCGTCGCGTGTCAGCTTGACGGGGAATATACACGGCCTAGACGAAGACCGAATAAACGGCCGTGACGAAGACCGAATACACGGCCTAGACGAAGACCGAATACACGGCCTAGACGAAGACCGAATACACGGCCTAGACGAAGACCGAAGGAGGTAATGCGGTCCGTATTTGAGGCCTAGACGAAGACCGAAGGAGGTAATGCGGTCCGTATTTGATAGTGAGGTATTCCAGATCAGGAGAACAAAAGGACATGAGTTTCTGGACGTTACCGCAGTCACACCATGTAGTTAAGTAGTTCATCATTAAACATAGACCTCCACCTTTCTTTTTCCCAGAGAGTTCTTTCTTCCTGTGTGTGCGATGTACGGAGAACCCTGTTGGCTGTATGGACGGGGACAGTATATCCGGAGAGAGCCATGATTCCGTAAAACAGAGTATGTTACAGTCCCTGATGTCTCTCTGGAAGGAGATCCTCGCCCTGAGCTCGTCTACTTTGTCCAGGGACTGGACTTTAGCGAGTAATATACTCGGAAGAGGTTGGTATCTGGGCCACCTGATCCAATTCAGGAAAGTTATTTCTGGTGGAAATGCTGGTGAATGACCGCCGATCTAATATCTAAAAGTTATTTTCGGCTGTAGGTAATAATGCAAGAAAGCTGAGAAAATAATGTAAGAAATAACACACAAAAACACAATACTTCAAAGTTGGTAAGGAACAGGGCGACCTTTTCTATGACTTTGTGGTTGTGGGAACTAGTGAAGACCAGGCACAACTCTGATATAAATAGTTTTTTCTCCAAGTTGCCGGGGATGTCACGTGTCCAACTTATATCAGTACACTAGTAACAACCTAATCATTATGAAACTTGTGTTAGATTAAATAAGCCACACGTAGCAAATAAGCCCTTAAATATGTTAACGAAATTGACCTCCAAACAAAAACTCCTTGCTTGGTGAGCGATAAATCCATAAAAACGCCACCTGCTGGAGAAGACAGATTTTAGGCTCAGTCATCCCTCTCGCTTCACCTCTTCCTCTTGTGTCCCAAATGCACCCTATTCTTTATAATACACTACCTTTGGGACCTGCAATCAGAATTAGTGCACTATACAGGGAATAGCCTTAGGGCTTAGATATTGCTGACGTGTGACAGACCTTATTACCACGGTTACAACTACAACACCTGGATATGTATTTTAAGGATCAGCTCACATACACTATATATACAGAAGTATGTGGACACCCATTCAAATTAGTGTATTCAGCTTTTTCAGCCACACCCGTTGCTGACAGGTGTATAAAATCGTGAACACAGCCATGCAATCTCCATAGACAAACATTGGCAGTAGAATGACCTTCCTGAAGAGCTCAGTGACTTTCAACATGGCACCCTCATAGGATGCCACCTTTCCAACAAGTCAGTTCGTCAAATTTCTGCCCCTCTAGAGCTGCCCCGGTCAACTGTAAGTGCTGTTATTGTGAAGTGAAAACGTCTAGGAGCAACAACGGCTCAGCCGCAAAGTGGTAGGCCACACAAGGGCTGAAGCGCTTAGCGCGTAAAAATAGTCTGTCCTTGTTTGCAACACTCACTACCTAGTTCCAAACTGCCTCTGGAAGCAACGTCAGCACAATAACTGTTGGTCGGAAGCTTCATGAAATGGGTTTCCATGGCCGAGCAGCCGCACACAAGCCTAAGATCACCATGCGCAATGCCATGCGTCGGTTGGAGTGGTGGAATTGCGTTCTCTGGAGTGATGAATCACGCTTCACCATCTGGCAGTCCGATGGATGAATCTGGGTTTGGCAGATGCCAGGAGAACGCTGCCTGCCCCAATGCATAGTGCCAACTGTAAAGTTTGGTGGAGGAGGAATAATGGTCTGGGGCAGTTTTTCATGGTTCAGGCTCCTTAGTGCCAGTGAAGGGAGATCTTAATGCTACAGCATGCTATGCCATTCTAGACGATTCTGTGCTTCCAACTTTGTGGCAACAGTTTGGGGAAGGCCCTTTCCTGTTTCAGCATGACAATGCCCCCATGCACAAAGCGAGGTACATACAGAAATGGTTTGTCGAGATCGGTGTGGAAGAACTTGACTGGCCTGCACATAGCCTTGACCTCAACCCCATCAAACACCTTTGGGATGAATTGGAACGCCGACTGCGAGCCAGGCCTAATAGCTCAGACTGGGAAAAATCGTTTTGAACGGTCATCCAACTCGTAATTCCAAGTCGGAAAATGTCAAGAGCTCAGACTTTCTGACCTGAAGATAACGGACGTCATGATTTGACCTTGTTTTTTTCTGAGTTTCCAGTTGCCTTGAAAGCACCATTAAATCTGCTGCTTGACTTCACTGGCAACATCATTGCCAGTATCTAGTGATGACTTCACTTCACAGTGTATTTTGTTTGTTTATCAAATGGATTCGATTATGCTAAGCCACGGGGCATCGGCCCGTTACATCATCGGGCGAAAGCCTGGAAGGAGGAGCACCCTTCTCAAATCGAACCGTAAGCTGCGCAGCATCGTTTAGAGACATACATCTCTTTTCCATAAAATATATTTTTTCCACTGGGAAGGCAGATAAAGCGTTTTTATCAAAAGCAATCCCTTTTGCCTGGGAAACTACAGAATCCTAGTAATTACTACACATACGGGCCGGGTGGGGTGGGTGGGGGGGGGGTTTGTGTATTGTGTGTGTGTGTGTATATATTTGTATGTATGCTAAATGAACGTTTGTTAGTGTAAATGTATTATGATTTATATAAAGAAAATATTTGTTTTTTTAAGTGAAACTATATCTGAGATGTGAATCCAGAGCCCCTCTGAACGTCTGAGAGACCAGGTAGGGTCTAGTCCATCTGAGAGACCAGGTAGGGTCTAGTCCATCTGAGAGACCAGGTAGGGTCTAGTCCATCTGAGAGACCAGGTAGGGTCTAGTCCATCTGAGGGACCAGGTAGGGTCTAGTCCATCTGAGAGACCAGGTAGGGTCTAGTCCATCTGAGGGACCAGGTAGGGTCTAGTCCATCTGAGGGACCAGGTAGGGTCTAGTCCATCTGAGAGACCAGGTAGGGTCTAGTCCATCTGAGGGACCAGGTAGGGTCTAGTCCATCTGAGAGACCAGGTAGGGTCTTAGAGAGACCAGGTAGGGTCTAGTCCATCTAAGAGACCAGGTAGGGTCTAGTCCATCTGAGGGACCAGGTAGGGTCTAGTCCATCTGAGAGACCAGGTAGGGTCTAGTCCATCTGAGAGACCAGGTAGGGTCTAGTCCATCTGAGAGACCAGGTAGGGTCTAGTCCATCTGAGGGACCAGGTAGGGTCTAGTCCATCTGAGGGACCAGGTAGGGTCCATCTGAGAGACCAGGTAGGGTCTAGTCCATCTGAGGGACCAGGTAGGGTCCATCTGAGAGACCAGGTAGGGTCCATCTGAGAGACCAGGTAGGGTCTAGTCCATCTGAGGGACCAGGTAGGGTCTAGTCCATCTGAGGGACCAGGTAGGGTCCATCTGAGAGACCAGGTAGGGTCTAGTCCATCTGAGGGACCAGGTAGGGTCTAGTCCATCTGAGGGACCAGGTAGGGTCCATCTGAGGGACCAGGTAGGGTCTAGTCCATCTGAGGGACCAGGTAGGGTCCATCTGAGAGACCAGGTAGGGTCTAGTCCATCTGAGGGACCAGGTAGGGTCTAGTCCATCTGAGGGACCAGGTAGGGTCCATCTGAGAGACCAGGTAGGGTCTAGTCCACCTGAGGGACCAGGTAGGGTCTAGTCCATCTGAGGGACCAGGTAGGGTCTAGTCCATCTGAGGGACCAGGTAGGGTCTAGTCCATCTGAGAGACCAGGTAGGGTCTAGTCCATCTGAGGGACCAGGTAGGGTCTAGTCCATCTGAGAGACCAGGTAGGGTCTAGTCCATCTGAGGGACCAGGTAGGGTCTAGTCCATCTGAGAGACCAGGTAGGGTCTAGTCCATCTGAGGGACCAGGTAGGGTCCATCTGAGAGACCAGGTAGGGTCTAGTCCACCTGAGGGACCAGGTAGGGTCTAGTCCATCTGAGGGACCAGGTAGGGTCTAGTCCATCTGAGAGACCAGGTAGGGTCTAGTCCATCTGAAGTGGCTCCCTGTGAGGTACCCTGGTACTCTGTGAGGTACCCTGGTACTCTGTGAGGTACCCTGGCTCCCTGTGAGCTACCCTGGCTCCCTGTGAGCTACCCTGGCTCCCTGTGAGGTACCCTGGTACCCTGTGAGGTACCCTGGCTCCCTGTGAGGTACCCTGGCTCCCTGTGAGGTACCCTGGTACTCAGTGAGGTACCCTGGCTCCCTGTGAGGTACCCTGGTACCCTGTGAGGTACCCTGGTACTCAGTGAGGTACCCTGGCTCCCTGTGAGGTACCCTGGTACTCTGTGAGGTACCCTGGTACCCTGTGAGGTACCCTGGCTCTCTGTGAGGTACCCTGGTACTCTGTGAGGTACCCTGGCTCCCTGTGAGGTACCCTGGTACCCTGTGAGGTACCCTGGTACTCAGTGAGGTACCCTGGCTCCCTGTGAGGTACCCTGGTACTCTGTGAGGTACCCTGGCTCTCTGTGAGGTACCCTGGTACCCTGTGAGGTACCCTGGCTCTCTGTGAGGTATCCTGGTACCCTGTGAGGTACCCTGGCTCTCTGTGAGGTACCCTGGCTCCCTGTGAGGTACCCTGGCTCTCTGTGAGGTACCCTGGTACTCTGTGAGGTACCCTGGTACCCTGTGAGGTACCCTGGCTCTCTGTGAGGTATCCTGGCACTCGGTGAGGTACCCTGGCTCTCTGTGAGGTACCCTGGTACTCTGTGAGGTACCCTGGTACCCTGTGAGGTACCCTGGCTCCCTGTGAGGTACCCTGGCTCTCTGTGAGGTACCCTGGCACTCGGTGAGGTACCTTGGTACTCTGTGAGGTACCCTGGTACCCTGTGAGGTACCCTGGCTCTCTGTGAGGTACCCTGGTACTCTGTGAGGTACCCTCCCTGTGTGTCTGGCATAAAAGCAGTGCATAGAAAGGGATTTGAGGCCCGTCCAGTGAACCCTCTGTCCTAATGATCCTGGTTATCTAGTCTCCTCCATCACTGCAGACAGGAACCCTCTGTCCTAATGATCCTGGTTATCTAGTCTCCTCCATCACTGCAGACAGCTAACGACTCTGGATGAAACCGGTAACCTGTGACTGTCTGTCTGTCCAGAGCTGTTTGTTGTAATAGAAGGCTCTGAGTCTGTCTGTCTGTGTCATGTGACGTGGCGACAGAACATCTGATTATTATTATTATAAAGATTATGTATTAAACGTGTCAAGAAACAAAGGCCTGTCCAAATTAATAAAGTTTTGTTGAACCTTTCTACGAGAGCAACACACCTATTTATTCATATTTGTGGAGTGTTCATCCAGAAGGCGCTATCATCCAGAAGGCGAGGTCAGTACAGGTGCATCAACGCTGGGACCGAGAGAATGAAAAACAGCTTCTATCTCAAGGCCATCAGACTGTTAAATAGCCATCACTAGCACATTAGAGGCTGCTGCTGCCTATTGAAATCACTGGCCACTTTAAGAAATGGAACACTAGTCACTTTAATAATGTTTCCATATATTGCACTACTCATCTCATATGTATATACTGCATTCTATTCTATAATATTCTACTGTATCTTAGTCCATGCCGCTCTGACATTGTTTGTCCATATATGTATTCTTAAATTCCATTCGTTACTAGATTTGTGTGTATTGGGTATATGTTGTGAAATTGTTAGATGTTACTTGTTAGATATTACTGCACTGTTGGAGCTAGAAGCACAAGCACAAGTACTCCTGAGTGGCGCAGTGGTCTAAGGCAGTGCTAACTGTGCCACTAGAGATCCTGGTTCGAATCCAGGCTCTGTCGCAGCCGGCCGCGACCGGGAGACTCATGGGCGGCGCACAATTGGCCCAGCGTCGTCCAGGGTAGGGGAGGGAATGGCCGGCAGGGATGTAGCTCAGTTAATAGAGCATGGCGTTTGCAACGCCAGGGTTGTGGGTTCGATTCCCACGGGGGGCCAGTATAAAAAAAAATATGTATTCACTAACTGTAAGTCGCTCTGGATAAGAGCGTCTGCTATTTCGCTACACCTGCAATAACATCTGCTAAACACGTGTATGTGACAAATAACATTTGATTTATTTAGTTATGCTGCATGATGGTTTGTACTGAAGGACATGTTTTATCCTAAACGGTGCATGAAAATGTATGCACTCACTAACTGTAAGTCGCTCTGGATAAGAGAGTCTGTTAAAATGACTAAAATGTGAAGGGTGGGTGTGGCATGATCAATATGGGTCTGACCATTTGAAATCACAAAACTCGTGCAGTGAACACTATACAATCTACCTCTGGGCCACCATAATGGCAACGTTTTTCATCTAGTCGTTCAGTATAGATAGTTTCTGTTGAATTCAACGTTGCACACTTATTTATTTCACATACTTATTTTATTTCACATACTTATTTCAACCCTGATGTTGATGTAACCGCGGTGACGTTATTGTTAATGTTCCGGTGGTGATGTAATGATGTAGCTGTAACCGTGCCGATGTATGTGTAATAATGTATACACTCACTACCTGTAAGTCGCTCTGGATAAGAGCGTCTGCTAAATGACTAAAATGTAAATGTAAATGTAACTATGGTGATGTAGTTGTAACCGTGGTAATGAGGCGCTGGGTGTAGTACCTCTGGCCTCCACCAGGGAGCAGCAGATAACCTAGATTGTAAAGGACCTTTAAAACCATTCTATGTTTCACACTAAATATCTGCATGCGCCATTTCTGAAAAGACTGCACATACAAAAATATTTAGGTTTATAAACTTGCCGCACGCCATGTTTCCAGTTATAGTGTGTCCACCCAAAAATATTTTGGTGATAATCTCACTTCCTTATATTATAAAATACATTTTACCAAGAGAAATGTGGTTATTCATGTTCTGAATTGTACCATGTGGTTTTTCTCTAACACATAATTAACATTACATCCAAAAAGTCGGATTTCGTTACTTAATACATCCGATAATAAGCACGAGCTCTGTTGCCATAGCAGTGCAGGTTTCTCATTTTGTGGTCGTTGTCTTCCTGTTGTTTCCGCCGGTCACAAATAGCTAAAGTAGCATGACACTAGCTGGATTTAAATGGAAAAGGCTGAAAATATAAAGCACAGTCGCCGTTGACATTTCACAAAGATGCACTGTTTTTATGATGTCTTTCGAAAAAGAACAGGAACTAAAATGTGAAAATACTACATGTCATGTCTCAAAATGGATGTCCATCTTCCCTCCATATTGTTTTATGTCCTGCAGATTCCAGAAGAAAGATGACGAGTTCAACAGGAAAGTGAGCCTGTCAGGTAGCCAGTAGCCTTCATTCTCTCACAGAATCCAGCCCAGCTGATCCGATAACATCTTCCAGATTTTTGACCACTTTATTTCTCAGGCCTCCATTGATTTAGTCACCCTAATTCTGGCCATCATCCTACAAGGGTAAAAACTCCAATAATTTATGAATGGATTATGATAGAGACATAATCCAATAATTTATGAATGGATTAGGATGGAGACATGAGGTTTGGACCGCTGGTTCATAGAGGATTATCTACACAATTAACGGTATTTTACCCATTGGTCAAAAGATGCGTTTCTATTGGACACCCTAATTGTTATAAATCAGACCCCTCCTAAAACTTTGTGCATTTCAACGAGCATTAATGAAGCCGGTGACTGATGTGGCTCCTCAATACCATCAGATGAATCTTAGAACATATTCCGGTCTGTGCTAGCGAAACGGCCGTGTAGCTGTCAACTGTGTGTCCTATAGACGTTGATGCCACTGGCCCTCTCTGTCCGGGGGTCAGTTTGTTGATGCCACTGGCCCTCTCTGTCCGGGGGTCAGTTTGTTGATGCCACTGGCCCTCTCTGTCCGGGGGTCAGTTTGTTGATGCCACTGGCCCTCTCTGTCCGGGGGTCAGTTTGTTGATGCCACTGGCCATCTCTGTCCACGGGTCAGTTTGTTGATGCCACTGGCCCTCTCTGTCCTGGGGTCAGTTTGTTGATGCCACTGGCCCTCTCTGTCCGGGGGTCAGGTTGTTGATGCCACTGGCCCTCTCTGTCCTGGGGTCAGTTTGTTGATGCCACTGGCCCTCTCTGTCCACGGGTCAGTTTGTTGATGCCACTGGCCCTCTCTGTCCGGGGGTCAGGTTGTTGATGCCACTGGCCCTCTCTGTCCACGGGTCAGGTTGTTGATGCCACTGGCCCTCTCTGTCCACGGGTCAGGTTGTTGATGCCACTGGCCCTCTCTGTCCGGGGGTCAGTTTGTTGATGCCACTGGCCCTCTCTGTCCGGGGGTCAGTTTGTTGATGCCACTGGCCCTCTCTGTCCTGGGGTCAGTTTGTTGATGCCACTGGCCCTCTCTGTCCTGGGGTCAGTTTGTTGATGCCACTGGCCCTCTCTGTCCTGGGGTCAGTTTGTTGATGCCACTGGCCCTCTCTGTCCTGGGGTCAGGTTGTTGATGCCACTGGCCCTCTCTGTCCTGGGGTCAGTTTGCTGAGCAGCGTGTGATAAGAGGCCAGGACGGCAGAAGGCCTGTTATTGGTCAGCATGGTGATGACATCACTCAGAATAATTAACATATACCATATCAGTCAGCTTACAGACACCCCTAAATAACATGGAACATATTAGTCAGCTTTCTGACACCCCAAAATATAATAAATTATCGAACATGTTAGTCAGGTTACTGACACCCCTAAATAATATAGAACATATTAGGGAACTGACTGACAGCCCTAAATAACAGAACATATTAGTGAGCTTACTGACAGCCCTAAACAACATATACTATATCAGTCACATTAGACACCCCTAAATACTATAGAACATATTAGTGAGCTTACTGACACTCCAAGACTAACTAGAAAGATAGTATATTCTCTATCTAGTTAGTATATTCTCTCTCTCTCTAGTTAGTCTATTCTATATCTAGTTAGAATATACTAAATAGAGAGAGAGAGAATACAGAGAAAGAATACAGAGCGAGAGAGAGAGAGAATACAGAGAGAGAGAGAATACAGAGAGAGAGAGAATACAGAGAGAGAGAGAATACAGAGAGAGAGAGAGAGAGAATATATATATATATATAGAGAGAGAGATTACAGAGAGAGAGAGATAGAAACAGAAGAGATAGATACAGAGAGAGAGGAATACAGAGAGAAGAGAGAGAGAGGAGAGAGAATCAGAGAGAGAGAATACAAGAGAGCTAGCAGAGAGAGAGAGAGAGAATACAAGAGATAATACAGAGAGAGAGAATACAGGATAGAATCGAGAGAGCAAGAGATAGAGAAGAGAGAGAGAAACACAGAGAGAGAATACAAGAAGCTAGAATACAGAGAGATAATACAGAGAGAGAGAATACAGAGAGAGATAGATAGAATACAGAGAGATATATACAGAGAGAGATACAGAAGAGAGAATACAGAGTAGAGATAAGAGAGAGAGATGAAGAGAATACAAAGGGGAGATGATAGAAAGAGAGAAGAAAAGAGAGAGAATACAGAGAGAGAAACAGAGAAAGAGTAGAATACGGAGAGGATACAGAGGAGAGAGAATCAGGAGAGAAATACGAGAGAGGAGAAATACAATAAGAGAGAGGAGAATACAGAGAGATGAATACAGAGAGAGAGAGAATACAGAGAAGAGAAATACAGAGAGAGAGAATACAGAGAGAGAATACATAGAAGAGAATACAATAGAGAGAGGAACAGGAAGAGAAACAGAGAGAGGAATACAGAGAGATAGAATACAGAGAGGAGAAATACAGAGAGAGAGAGATACAGAGAAGATACAGAGAGAGAGAATACAGAGAGAGAGAGAATACAGAGAGAAAAGAGAATACAGAGAGAGAAGATACAAGAGGAGAGAATACGAGAGAGAGGGGAAATACAGAGAGAATACAGAGAGAGAGAGAATACAGAGAGAGAGAGA